GGGGAAGTTCTGGGAGAGCCCGGAGACGGTGTCCCAGCTCGACTCGGTCCGCGTCTGGCTGGGGAAGCACTACAAGAAGGTGCGGGCCCGCCGGGGGGCGCGAGGACCGGGCGGGGAGGGAGGGTGGAGGGGGGATGTTAAACGGTCCCTCACGGTCCCTTCCCGCGGGGGCGGCCCGGCCCCGCCGGCCTTTGTGAGCCGCGGCCTGCCCGCCGCGCCGGCCGCCTCCGGAGGGAACCGGGACGGGGGTGGGTTGGCGGCCGGGGGGGGGCAGGAGCCCACTCCACTCCGAGGGGCGGCCGGTGCCCGCGTTCGCGTCCAGGCCCAGCCGCAGCGGGAAGTTTTCCTGTGCGGGCAAGTCCCGGGCTCCGCTCCGCAGGGTGGTTTCTACAGGTTTTTCATTTTAAACCGCGCCCCGGAGGTGTCGGGGTGGTGTTATTTTTTAAAAAAAAAAAAGAACAAGCCGTTGGTGCTGTTGGGAACCGTGTTTCACCCAACGTGGTGTGTTGTGAGCTCTCTGTGTGTCGCTGGGACCCCAGGGTCACTCTCTGCGCTGCCCTCCGGCGCCTTTCCCCCTCTCAGGTAGCGTGTTTGCTCTTCTTTTCCTTTCCTTTCAAGCGTTTTTCCTGCAACGCTCATTTTGTAACTTTCTTTCAACACCTGAGCCTTGGGAAAAAAAAACAAAGCACCTGGGCTGAACTTTCCAGAAGATGGTTCTCTCTGTTGGGACGGCTTTGTAGCCATCCTAAGGACGAGCGTTAGCTCCGTGTGGAGGAGAGGTGCCTGGAGAGCCTCAAGGTGCCTTAATCTCCCCGTTGACCTGCGGTTTCCAGTCCCTCCCAATACTTTTCCGTACGTCTGGTGTCCGTATCCCCCACAGGGGGTTTGTCCGTGGCTCTGCGAGTGCCGTTGAGGGGATTCCTTGGGTGGAAATGCTGTGAAATGGGCACATTCGGAAGGGTGTTTCACCGGTCCTTCCACATCACTTGTTCCAGCGCAGCCACCGACACCCGAATCCACACAGTGAGGGGGAGGCAGCAGCTCGAGCAGCTTCAGCTATTTATGTCAATAAGGAAATTATAGCATCAAAGTATATCTGTATTTTTTTTTCCTCTTTGTTTTGATTGTGCTCCTCTGCTGTTTCTACACTTCTGGGGAGGAGCGCTCTTCCGTTTCATTTCATTTTCATAACCAAATACCCACCAGAAGACAAGAAACTTCTGAAATAACTTTGAACTGGAGGCTGCCATTTTGCAGAAGGGCAAGGCGTGTTATTAAAAGCATTAACGGTTGTTAATTAGCGGTCCCCTCGCTGCCGTGAATCAAAACTGTCTAGACAAGCTGGTTCTCACCTTACGAGCCTGGCAGGGCCTCTTATCTGTAGCTCAGGGGTGGGAGCTTTCATTTTGCACGCCAAAGCAAAAACTCCTTTATTATAATTGGTTTACACTTATCGGTATTACTGGTTATAAAGATTAGATGCTTGTATTTGCCACTTAAACTCTGGAAGGTAATTAGAATTGGGCTAAGAAGAAATCTGTACTGGGCAAGTCAATTTCAAAATACCGCTGTGCAAAATACTTTTCTAAAAAAATTGAAAGTTAGTTTTGTTCTGGGAAACAAGGAAACTGATCCTTGAAACTGACATTTAAAGAGGTGTCCATAATACTCTAAATTGAAGTGTTGATTCCCTTTTGATGCACAGTGAATGGACTCTGGTTCATATTGAGTTATTTTTCTTTATACAGTGGGTACTTGATTCTTAATTTTGTTTTAATTCAGGTGGCAGCTTTGCTGTAAGTTCGTGATTCCTTTCAGAAAAGTACATAGTGATTGTACCTGACTTTTGTCCAGTTTATGCTCTTAAAAATGGGTCTGTGTGCACCTCGGCAGTGGTGATGCCAAGTTGTGTCCAGCTCTGGGGGCTTGGGGGTCGCTGGGGAGCAACCGGAGAGAATTCCAAGAGCAGGAATGAGCTTGGTCAAGGACTGAGGAGTCACGATGGGCAAAGAGAGTGTTAGAGAATTGCAGTTATAAACCTTCTCGTTCTTCTCTCCAGAATAGACAAGTCTTCAAATGCCAGAGAGTTCCCCATGTCTCTAGAGTATAAGTAAAAAAGTAAGAGGTTTAAATAGCGCTTGGAAAACTCACGCTGGATATTGGAAAACTTGTTAGTGGGGAGGAGTGGGCTGCCCTAGGCAGCGTGGTCAGTCTCTGTGGATCTTTTGGGGATAAAATCTGTTGGTTTTGTAACCCTGCGTTACCGTGATGTACTATTTTTCTGACACAAACCTTCTCATCCCGTTTCTTCTTGGCCGAAGTGCCGGCCGTGAGGAGGACCCTTCCCTGGCAGCGTGTGCCAGGGACGCTCTGGTGGTTGGGCAGAGGATGCCTATAAAGATGGAAGGAAGCCTGGGGGGGCTGTTAGTGACAACAAACCTAACGACAGGAAAAAAAAAAAAAATTGGTTATTCCAACATTCTTTCCACTCCCTGTTTTTGTGTGTGGGGTGTTTGGAAGTCCTCTCGCTCTTTCCCTGCGCTGAGGGTTGCAGGAGGTCCCAGGCCTTGGACCACGGTGTGGATGTTTGAGCCTTTATTCCCCCATGAGCTGGAAATGGGCTCATGCTGCAGTTTTCAAGGCCTGGAGGATCTGACAGGCTTTCGTAGCATTTGAGTGGACTAACTCCAGTGACAAGGTGTCCACTCTAAGTAGAAATTTATAGTTGAAAAGTGAACTGAGCAACGCATTTTTTACTGTATTAATGTTCAGTGATCTCTAATATTGTGTTATTTAGGTAGTTCCTGTGATATTAAGCAAGAAATCGCTCGTATTAAAGTGGCTTGTCATAAAGTAGAGTCATTCCTTGTATTTAACTCACTCCAGACTATCTCAGGAAGAGATTTTTTTCTCCTGCGTTAGGAAGAATGAGGAAACTAACCCTGGCCTTGCAGCTGTTCGTCCCTGAGGACCGTTCCCAGCGTGTTCATCGTGTCCCGGTCAATATATTGACCTTTCGGAGCTTGAGCTACTCGGTGGCTCCAAAAGCTGTGTCCTGCCCCTCTGGGATAGAAAACTGGAAAACTGAAAGGTTTTTTTTGGGGCAGGGAGGAGGGTGTTTTGTTTTTTTTAAAAAAAAAAAACCAAAAAAACAAGTGGAGTGTTGTATTAAAGGGTGAGTTAGAAGAGAAGACAGGGTGGGCTGTCCACATAGACACGAAACCATGTGGAGTGTGAGGGGTATCACCACTTGGACATCTGGGTGGTTTGTGGGGTGTCCTGTACCCCTTTGCATGAGTAAAAAATGTAGAATAATAAATTTTTCTTTGGGTGTGGATGGAGCGTGGTGCTGTTGAGAGGTGTTGGCCGGGAGGATGCGCCGCAGGAGGGTGAGGACGGGCGGCAGCGTGGGATCTCGTTATGCCCTGCTATTAATAAGCCCCAGAGCCAGGAGGGACGAGCTGCTTCTTGGCAGCCGTTGGGAAATGGCAGTTGTTGTCCCCGAAAACGTCTGTTTGGGGACCACCTGCTCATTCCCCCCCAGCCAGGAGCTGAATTTAGAGGATTTGTTGTTATCTTTCGGCTGGCTCCGACTTCTCCTGTCGGTGCTGACCTTATCAAGCATTTCTTCAGTGACCGACTTTGATTTAATCCAGGGGAGGGCTTTTCCTCTGTGTTTGCAGCTCTTGTGTGCTCTCACCTTCAAAAAAGGAATGAGGGTTACAACCTAAACCAAAGCATTTAAATATTGGGTTTCCTTTCCCTGTTATTGAGTGTTCTGAGCTGAAAAGTTCTTTGTTTTGGGGGAAAGAAAGGGTTTTGTGCAGCAGGGCTGCAAAGCAGAGCCCTAACGTGGTTATTTGAGGTCAGTAACCACATCAGAACCGGGAACACGACTCTGTCCCTTACGCCTGTGACAAAGGCTTCCCAGTGCAGCTGCGGCGGCGGATCTTGCTGGTGGAGAGGTTTCCTCTGCACGTGGTTACTCTCTTGTTCTTGAATTATTGGAGTTACGCTGACAGGCTTCCAACCGTACGTGTTTGCTGCTAAAGGATGCGTGGGTGGGTTTGTGTCTCTAATTGAGGTTGAAATGTTAGAACAACCTTTGCTGTGTCAACGGGGCTCTGGGATTTCAGCACTTGAAGAAGAAAATCTTCTTACGCCAGCACTGTGTGTGTAGGAACAGAGCATCGTTCCTGTCTCCTGGAATTTGCTGTTTAATAAACCTTTATTTGCTGCAGAATCCCCTTCTGCTTCTGTCTGCTGTGGAGACTGGTGGAAAACTTGCAGGTGTGTCATGACTCTGGTCCTCTGGGGTCCCCTCAAACCCACCACACGTCCATCAGGGAATTGTCTGACTGGTTTTGCTGATTGAGTGATCCATTTGTGTTACTGGTTACTGCATGTAAACATGGGAGGAGTCTTTTGTGTTTCCTTTTGAGGGTTTGTTTGGGGTATTTTTGCCCTTATTGTTTAGGATGTACCCCAGGCACAGATGACTTTCCTGTATAAAAAAACTGGCAGTGTAGAATAGAATCAGGGTTTCTTAACATTATCCATATTCTACATGAAGAAGTAATCTTCTACTCTTGGAAGTCTTCTGTCAAGGTGAGGAGATAACACCCAGTAGGTGAATATTGCAATCTTAGGAGTAATGAAAACTCAGCAGCTGTGGGACTTTTTTTTTGTGCTCCGTGCTACGATTTCCCTTTTTATATTTATGCATTTTATTAGAACTATAACCTTGGGAAAGGCTTAGATTGTCACAAAGCATTGAAAATAGACTTGTCTGGATCAGTTTTTCCTGTCTGTAGGTGACACTCTGTATAGTACTAAATGGATGCTTTTAGGATTAATGTGTAGTAGTTGGTTACAGAAGGAGCTTGTAAAGTTGCTGTAGAAGCTTTGTGTATGTGTGGGCCAGAATTAGTCTGTTCCTTTATTAGGAGCTACAAATCAGATTGAAGTAGTTAATCTCTGGCTGTAAAACACCGGCAACCATGAGGAACTGATGAGGATTCATAGATTCCTGCTGTATTTTAAGAGTAAAGCTTGAAACATGTTCGTGCCTGGTGCTTCTTCTGCCACAGAGTGATCCTTAAATCTTAAACCGTGTGTTCTACAACTGATCAGGTGGTCTGGGGAATTCGTAAACCAGTCTTCGTGGTCTACCCCAACTAAGCGTGTGTTTTTTGTCTTTCAGTATGTCCAAGCAGATGCTCCTACCAATAAAACACTGGCTGGGCTGGTGGTGCAGCTGCTGCAATTCCAGGAAGATGCCTTCGGAAAACACGTCACCAATCCTGCCTTCACAAAGCTTCCTGTGAGTATCGGGGTGATTCCAGCAGCCTGGTTTGTTCTTCCTCCAGTGTGGGTGCTGCTGGTGGGTTTCTGGGTGGTTGGGAGAGTCGTGCTTCCTCGGAGGCATCCTCTGGAAAGGGTGAAATAGCACTCTGCTCCTTAAAAGCAGATTTTTCAATGTAATTCATCTTCTAGTCTACAACTGATCAGGTGGTCTGGGGAATTCATAAACCAGTCTTCATGGTTTATTATCCTCTATCCCAACTAAGCGTGTGTTTTTTGTCTTTCAGTATGTCCAAGCAGATGCTCCTACCAATAAAACACTGGCTGGGCTGGTGGTGCAGCTGCTGCAATTCCAGGAAGATGCCTTCGGAAAACACGTCACCAATCCTGCCTTCACAAAGCTTCCTGTGAGTATCGGGGTGATTCCAGCAGCCTGGTTTGTTCTTCCTCCAGTGTGGGTGCTGCTGGTGGGTTTCTGGGTGGTTGGGAGAGTCGTGCTTCCTCGGAGGCATCCTCTGGAAAGGGTGAAATAGCACTCTGCTCCTTAAAAGCAGATTTTTCAATGTAATTCATCTTCTAGACATAGAATTGTCTGGGTTGGAAGGGACCCTTCAGGTCATTGAGACCAACCATCAACCCAACACTGACAAAAACCATCACTAAACCATATCTCTAAGCCCTTTGTCTACCCGCCTTTTACGTATCACCAGGGAATTTAATATACATTCGGAAGTGATTTCCTGAGTACTGCAGAAAGGTTTCAATTTCTAGTAAAATTCTCTGTAAACTGGTAAACTTTAGGTTAAATCTGTTTGGATTTTTGCATCCTAAACTGACTGAATAATGTGCACCTTCTGAAACAAACACTTTTCCATTGGACATTTCAGTTATTAAACATGAAACTGGTGATTATCAGTGCTGAAAAATGGCTTTATTATGTTCTTTAGTAGTGCACAGTTCACTAATTAGTCCGGGGTAGTTTTCCAGTCACTGGGGATATTGGTATATTGTTATTGTATTGATATATTGTTCCAGAAAAGGGTTTTTCAGACTTATTGGGTGAATTTCTTGGGGCTTAGGAACACTCAGAGATGCACCACGAGGTGCCATTAGGATGTGTCTCACCATCTCTTCCCTTCTGGTCGCCCCGGTGGCAATTGGAAGCTTTGGACACAGAGGCAAACGTTGCGGTAGACCATAAAACTGTACCCACATTCAACAAGTGGACAAACTTTTTTGAGTGCTCTGAAGCCTTAAATCGATTTGTCTTATCTTAAAAATAGGTAATAAAGATTTCGGTGGCGTTGTAAATATGTTGTTCCTGCATTTAACTCTTCCTGCTGTTTCAAAGAGCTAATCCGGTCAAATTTGCTCAGCTTAAGTTTACAGCAGTTGGATCTCTCTGCTCTCAGTTCCATCCCACAGAAGACAACTTATCCGTGCATCTTCCTTTCTGTTGTTTTTATGAAATAATGCAATATTACTCTTGGGAGGAGGTTAGCTGTTGCTTTTTTGGACGTGCAATTTAAGATACGGATTCAGTATCTGAAGGAGGGTTTATTATTCTACCGTAGCACCTTGAAGATGTGTGGAAATGTTTGGTTTTACAGGACTATGTCTGACTTGGGAAGGAGAGGCTGTGTGAATGGATGTCTCTAGTGACATTGCTGATCTCCAAAAATGCGTTGAAAAGGTATTCCAGGTTTCCACTGCAAAGGAACTGGATGAAGCTAAAAGAGGTTAAAAGTTTGTGCTTGTCTTAGTAACTCCTTACCGTGTTTCTGGCGAGGATGGGTCTGAAGCTGAAGAGGAGGAGGTCGTGCTTGAGTGAAAGAAACAACCCCCAAGCCATCAAAACAGAGTGCTGTGGGCCTGCAGGTGACTGCAAAGTCCTCAATTTCTGACCTCAGCTCAAAACTGCCATCACTAAAGGCTGCTTTGATGGTCCATTCCCTGTGTGATGCTCTTCTCCATTAATCCACATGGTTTATTGGAGATCAAGTGTTGGTCTCGAGAAGTGCAGTTGTTGCAAAACCCAAGGACGTGGCTCACCAGGAGCACTTGCTGATGAGAACGTGTCACACCAGGGTTGTCCTTCCAGTTCACCTTAGAGCCTTTAGATTTATTTTCCCAGTCCCAGGTGTCCCTCACGCTCATCCTCTGGAGTGTCTGCCCTTCAGCGCTGCCACGGGCCGTGACAAAGGGAACCTGGTGTCTGCTGTCAGCATTGGAGCTGAACCTCTCTGAGCTGACCTGCATCTAAATCACAGCAGGCTGCATCTGCTGAAATAAAGTTCAAACACTTTATTTAGTGCTCTGAGTGGATGAAATAGACCTTGTGTTTGAGCGAGGGTTGTTAATTTTGTGTTTAAACTCCTGTTCTTGGCAAGGATGCCCTACAGTAGAGGGTCTGTGGATGGATCTAGAGCAAATGAGGGACTGTTACAGCTTGGCTTCTGATTTTAGATGCGTATCGTCTAACCCTACTGAGGCTCAAAAAAAGAAAAAGCTGATTAATTCCCTCGAAACATGCAAAACTGCCTTTAAATACAGGCTATATTAAGATGTTAACTCCAAAGATGACTACTTGTGAGGCTGGTGAGTCTTAATTGCCTTGTGATGATGGATTTTGTTGGGTAAAAATGTTGAGGGCAATCTGGTTTATTGACAGTGGCATCTCTTCTGGGGAATGGGTTTTGTCTGACCATTAAAAGCAATTTCCTTTTGTCCTAGCAGCAACGACCACAGTTTAATAAGAGGGTCTTGTTAGAGCCTGCTGACACTTTAAAAATGTGATTTATTTCTATGAAAGAGATTTGTAGACTGTTTTTCATGGTTAAGCATTGGCTGAACTTCCTGTGTGTGGTCACAAAATCCCAACTTGCTGGAGTCATAGAATCATCAGAGATGCATAGAATGGTTTGGGTGGGAAGGGACCTTATGGCCCATCCAGTGCCACCCCCTGCCCTGGGCAGGGACACCTCCCACCAGCCCAGGTTGCTCCAAGCCCCCTCCAACCTGGCCTTGAACCCCTCCAGGGATGGGGCAGCCACAGCTTCTCAGGGCAACCTGGGCCAGGCTCTCACCACCCTCACACCAAACAAGTTCTTCTTGAGGTCCCATCTGAAGTCCCTGTGGTTCCTTGTGCTGCCGGGGGCTCCTGGATCGCTGAGCCCCGTGCCAGGCTGTGGAACCACCTCCCACCATTGCCCGGTAACACAGGAAGGTGTCACCTCGTCACTGAAAGATCTAATGACAGGCAGCTTGATGAAGGTGAATCTGCAGCAGCAGCCCCTGAACTTGAAGTAGGGACCGGTGGGGACAAGGAAGGGGTCAGCAGTTTCCCAAAGCATGAGTGAGGTGGGGTTTGCTGCGGAGATTTCATTTGGTTGCATGAAACGCCCACAAAAAGGGAAAAGTTGGTTCTGGATGCCCCATCCGTGCGTAGGACAACTGAAGATAAGCAACAGCACCTTCCATCTCGGTGCTGCAGAAATCTTCTCCACAGTCACTCTTGTGGCTTCATCTTGAGACGGATTTTTCTTTTTAGAGCAGCTCAGCGTTTGCATGTTTGTAAACCAACACTTGTATTCTCAGAGCCAGCTCTTAGGGCAATAAAATCATTCAGCATGTTGAAACATTTTGTTTTAATCCAGGCTTCGGATCAGAGTCTGTTCTGTCCACGCAGGACTTTGGTTTGAGAAGAATAGTCCCCAAATGTGGCTCATAAAGTGGCGAGTACTGGCGCGGCGGCTTTGAGCTCTCTTTATTCCTCCCTGCACAGTTGGGCTCTAAACAGATGGTCGAGCAGGAGCAGTTCTGCTCTCGTTGAATGCTCATGAAGGGTCTTTTTTTATGTTGTTCTTGGCCGCTGGTGTGTTTGATGTCTCCCAGAACTGCTTTGCTTTTCATTCTAGAGCCAAGGAAGCCCATGTTTCATTTTCGATCCCATGCTACCATTTTAGCTGCCTGGCTGCAGATGGGATTTAAAACACTTGTCGGTGATGCTAGGACCATAAATTGGTGCTCATTCTGTGGTAGCAAATAGTCCTGAGGTGGAATATAATGGAATTTAAAGAAAATTACCCGTTCTGTTGTTAAAAGTGATAGAAACTAGATCAGAAACATTCCTGCCGTAGAAGAACTACAGCGGTGTCTCCAGCTTCGTGCTTTCTCTCGTCCCAGCAGAAGGTGGATTGCAGAAAGGTGCTGGTAACCAGAGCTCAGCCATTAAACAGCTCCCCAAATTGTGGTTTTTGAATGGTTTTTGTTCTTATTTTTATTGAGAAACACAAAATAGACCCATCCTGGTCGATATGTTTAGTGTGTGGATGAAAAGATAGGTTTCGTGTCCCATTTCAGTAAATAGTTGGGTATCTTATACTGGCTGGAGCAACCTCAGAAGGGCTCACCCCCAGAGTTCCCCTGGGCTCCTGTGCCCCTCTGACCAGGTTGGGAGGAATTAAAAAAAAACAAAAACAAAACCAACACTTTTTTTGTAGTTTAGTCAAGTGAATTGATTTACCAAGCCATCCTCCTGGCTTCCATTTCTAAGATAACTTTGACTATTACTTTTCCTGAGCCCATACAAACATCCTGGCCAGAGATATTAGTAAAAGAGCAAAGATCATTCTAAACTAAGATTTACCAGAAATCTGTACCTTTCTGTGTAGAAAACAGTCCTTTTTTGTTTAGAGGAAGGACTTGGTGGGACTCAGTAGAGCTTTTTGGTCTCCTCATGCTTCTGTTGGCGTTTCAGTTCTTGGATTCAGAGTCCCTGGTTACAAATACGTGACTCCACTGTACTGTGGTAAAATGGATAGTGAAGAAATGTGTTGGATTTAGTATCTTTTGGGGCAGATCTGCAAAGTGACTTTTTCAGATCCTGACAACCAGCCTGTTGCTGTGATGGAGGAGGAACGGGAATGAGGAGCTTTGGGAGCCTGGGTTTTAGATGTTCGGTTTTAATGATTTGTTTTAGTCTGCTTAATACAGATGAAGAGCTTCTTAACTGGCAGCTACAATTTTTAGGTTTAATTTACTGTGAAATGGGTGTTCAAAGAGCAGTTCTGATTTCTGTTTTGCAGCCGTGCAAGGAATTTTTTTGCAAGCTACTCGTGCACGGGAGGACTCGGAGCTTTCAGATCAGGTTCTGCTCACAAACATGAAGAGTTTTTCTTACACCAGATGCATTTAATCTTCTTGAAACATCCTTAAAGGAGAACATAGATTTCCAAAAGTGACTAATCTGAGAATTAAATGATGCATTTGATAAGTTAGATGCCTAAAAATCAACTAACGAGTATGTATTCCTTTAAAATAATGACATAAAGGTCAGTGTCATGGTGATTTCGCTTTTCTTTCTGGTTCTAGGCAAAGTGCTTCATGGATTTCAAAGCTGGAGGTACATTATGTCACATTCTTGGTGCTGCTTACAAATATAAGAATGAACAGGGCTGGTAAGTTTTTATTTTAATTTCCACACCTTTTGCATGAAGTTAAGCACACGAAATGCATATGCAGATTACTTAAAATTTAATACTTTCTGGAGAATTGGGTAGGCAAGGGAGTTGGAGATGGGAAGAGGAAATTTTTTCCCCTGTTTTGCTGATGGTAGCTTTTTCAAGACACACCCCTACACTTCTGAATGTAACCATAAATTGTCCAAGTTTAAGGTCTTGGGAGTTAATTCCAAGCTTGAGGCTTTTTTTTTTTTTAACATTTATTTGCTGTGTGACTGAGCGAAGTAACCAGTATTTTAGAATTGTTGTTTCCCATCTCTAAGATGTAAATCTTTGTTAATGTATTGAGTATAGGGATTAGTTATAATTAGGAGGACACAAAGCATTGCTTGGATACTAATAAATGCTTAGTTTTTCATTGTTTATCAGCCACCATAAATGGGGAGTGTAAGTGGTTGGAAACACTGCCCCTGGAGCTACTGACACTAGTACTGAATCCCAGCAGCATTTTGACCTGTTCCTAAGTTATAATCCTCTCTCAGAGACAGCAGTAGCACGAATTACTGTATTTGGGAGCTCTGGAAAAAAGTCTGAGGATATGAAAATTCAATAGATAAGTCAGCAGAGATTGTTCTTGTACATTAATTTGGTTTCTGATCTGATGCTGTGCAGACCCCTAACAGCACTCAGGAATTGGCTGTCTTTTCTGTTAACCCACAAATTAAAAGGCAAAAATTAAGTTGTTTTAGTATGGTTGGCTGTTTTAAGGAGCTGTTTATACTCACATCAGCTAAATAGCTGTCTAGGGTGGATATAGCAGAAAGCTGCTATGAGGGAGCTGCTGTCAAGCTTTTTCTTACTCCAATATTGCCAACACCTGGGACGCGATACGTCTTTGTGTGGGGCGTCTTTCAGGAGTGTCTTGCTACCTCTTTGCCTTAAGGTAAAGGAGTTAAATAGCTCCTCCTTTCTTATTTTCCAAACAAATTTCATTTTTGGTCATTGAAATTTGCCAGCAAAACTCAGTTCCTTGGTTGCCTCCTCTCCTCTCCCTCTCTCGCTGCTGCCTCCGAACTAGCGGGTAGTGCCTTGTGTTTGTGCATGTGGGATGTAGAGGGAAATAATACTTGGATTTAACTCTTGAGGATCAGACTTAGAGCTTGGAATGTATCTTCACTGACTCAACCAAATAATATGCGGTGTTTTGCCTGAAATATGATAATTTTTATTTGATTTTTTTTGTTTGTTTTAATGCTATGCATTGTCGCTCTTGCTTAACCTGTTTGTGAATGATCTGTCTTATAGGAGAAGTACCTTTCCTCGTCATAATAGGTATGTCTGAAAAATGCACTTACCCAGTGCAGCTGGACATACCTTGGCTATCCCTGCAACCCGAGTAGTTGTTCGCTAAAACCTCTCAGAGGGTCTCAGTTAAACTCAGGACAGGAAGAGTTAAAACTGCTATTTTATCTAAACAGGCAACTAAAGAAAGTGCTATTTCTTAATCCATTGACAATGTATTCTCAATCCGTTATCTGAGGGTCTCAGTTAAACTCAGGACAGGAAGAGTTAAAACTGCTATTTTATCTAAACAGGCAACTAAAGAAAGTGCTATTTCTTAATCCATTGACAATGTATTCTCAATCCGTTATCTTTGGCTATGGGTTTCAAAAGGAGGCAAAATCTGGGGGGCATGTGTAGCATTGAATGAATAATTAATTTAGTTTTTAGGCAACCAAATGGAAAAAATTTGGTCAGACTCAAATGCCTTCAGTATCTTTGTTTCCTAGGCACTGAGGACTTTGTTAGGTGTCTAGGAAAACGGGGTAGTTTGTGTTTATTTAGCATTTGTCTTCCTCCTTTTCCTCGAAATGTTGGAGAAGCACGTTTTGAATGTGGACTGTGAAGCTGTCAGTGGGGGAATCCTGGGGAAGTGGCTTGATCCTGGCTCTTAAAATCCTTTGTATTATAGGTACAAATACTTTATTGTTGTGCAGGGAGCTGAGACTTACTGATGCCTGGCCCTGCTTCTAGAAATCAGTGTAATACTTTCAACGTGCACAATGCTATTTGAAGAGGTGATAATTTAAAATTGAAAGACGATTCTAATAAATATGCCAGGATATTGTCTCTAAGTCGTTTGCCAGGTCCTTAGCGTGAAGAAGAGAGTCCATAAATACCATTTTAGGGTAGAAACTGTAATTCTTTAATAGTGAATGTGTCTAGTCCTGCTCAGCACATATTTACACAGCACGCTCTGGGGGGGCACCTTCTTTCTGAAAACACTAAAGAACCTCAAGTGAAGAAAAACGCTGAATTGTCTTTGTTTTAATTTCGTAGTGTAATATTGATGTGCTGCTGTGATTGTGTGGTAATGGGTTTTGTGACTAATTTTGACTTTGGTTTACCTTCATTGTATATTTATAAACTTGAAAAATGGATTTGGTGTGTTACCAGAAACAAGTGTGTGTTTAAAAGAAACTGGCGTTAGTTACGGGCGCTGGAATCAATTCTTGTATTTGGAGTTGGGGCATAACTTAAAGCGTACGGGTCACCCCACGTGGCTTTTCCACCCTGTTTATTTTACACACTGAAATCCCTGCTGCCGAAATTGCCACTCCTGAACAACCAATGCCCCAGCTACGAGTGTTTTCAGACTCCAACAACAGCTTTTTCCAAACCTTGGGAGGTACCAGGTGGTGTTTTACAGCGGAGAGTCAACAACCTGATGGTCTAAACGTATCGTCGTGCTTTGGAAAAGGCTGAATTGTTCAGGGTCGGGCCCAAATCCCTTCCAGAGGCTCCTGGTGGTGAGGAGCCCGGGTGACAGAGCCAGCGTGGTCCCCTGTGGGTGAGGGACTGGCACTGGGGCTGACACTGTCCCCCGTCTCCAGGGGGTCACCATTCACATTCCTCATTTCACTTGATTCATCCCGAATTTGTGTGGTTCAAGGGGAGATGCAGCAGAATGGAAGCCTTTGGTGGCTCTTCTGTTTTTTCCTACTGGAAAGTCTCAGGTTTTCTGTTATTCCCCCCCATTTCTGATAGACACTTAATTCCGCACTGTTATTTCAAGAATTTTAATTTCTTTGTCAATGAAGTAGCAAACTTTACAGTACCAGAATTCAGTAGAAATGATCATAAAATGCTCACGTGGATTATGAGTTACCTGTATGCTGGAGGGGAGTGGCTTGTTCTCAAATAGATAAATAGATAGAAAATAAAAAATAATAGATAGAAAGAGGTAAAAAATGTCAGGCAAACAAATTGTTGTGTTTTTCCTGGATTAGAATCTGGGGCTGGTGGGTGGTACAACTACAAGTGAAGAGAAACGTGAGAGTTTGTTCATGGATTTTTCTCATCTAGTTGTTGAAAACCATCATGAGCGTTTGATTATTATTATTTTTGTTTTCTGTTTAATTGTCCTTTGTGACTGTAGTGGAATGCACAGCCCTGCCACGGGGTGTTGTTGGACAATGTCACCCTTCGTTTCATTAATCAGTCGCATTTTGTTGGTTTGGTTCATTGTGGTTTTTCTTGTTTGCGAGGGCTGTGAGTGAAGTCAAAATATTTGTGATTGTGCTTGAAGTGTTCTGATGTAGCTACCACAATATACTCTTTGGTGTTTTTTACGTGGAAAACATGAAAAGATTCTTGACTGCTGAACGGTGGGGAGCAGAATTTAATATTTTTGAATCATTTTCCTTAACAGGCGGAGGTTTGACCTGCAGAATCCATCCCGAATGGATCGAAACGTGGAGATGTTCATGAACATTGAGAAAACACTAGTGCAGGCAAGAGACTCGTGTACAGACCTGTATGTTGTCGCATGCTTGGGGCGGGGGGAATTCACCACATTTTATGTACCCCCTTGTGACCCACCAAAGAGTTTCACCCTGGGCTTCTGTAGGAATATTATACTCCATCTCCCACCCGGTTTAGTCAGAATTCCATGTTACCACTTGCAAAGTTCAGGATGTTTTCACTGATATTTGGTGGATATAATTTCTTTTTAGCTGCTGTGTGTGAAGAACAGAATATTTTTTGTCAAACCCTTACACCCAAGCTCAGCGTATAACAGAGTCCAGGTGTAACTTTCAGGTGCTTGTCAAAAATGGAACTTGGAGGCACAGCAAACAGAAACAGTACTCTTATTATACAAACACCCTATTGCCATTTTTTCAAGCATTGGTGATCGTAATAGGATTTTTTTTTTTAATTTATGTCCCACCTGACCTAATAATTTCTTATTTAACTTCTTATTCTCTCCACCAGAACAATTGTCTGAGCAGACCGACCATCTACCTCATTCCAGATATAGAGTTGAAGTTGGCTAATAAATTGAAGGATATTGTCAAACGTCACCAGGTAACTGTTAAATAACATATCTTAAGACAAATGTTTCATCAATTTTAAGATAAAATGTATTTGCCTGCCTTTAGCCTACCAGTTACGTCTGGGTTGTGTCTGACACCACCGGGCAGCAGCAGAAAGTCACTTAAGACCAGAAGGTTGTCGTTTGTGAAATGCCATTGGTGGTTTTCCTCACCTGGAGAGTGAATTATAACTCTCTTCTAAAAATAAATCTGAAATTGCCATTGAAGTGAGAAGCAGTTGTAGCATCTCAGCCCGGGCCTCCAGCCAACTCACAGATTTCAAGTTAAATACCTGCTTATATAAAGGAGAAACTCATCGTTTGCCCAAATCTGAGACCAAAGAAGGTAGTGTGTGATAAAACCCTTCTGGATACGTGGGGAAAGCATAAGGAAACTTTAATCTTGAAGTAATTGCTACGTTTTTTGCTTTATTTTACTTTTTTTCTTGCCTGTGCTGACCAGGGCACGAGCAACAACAGTCTCTGCCTTGTGAGGCAGTCGGTGTGTTTCTGAGGGAGTAACGTCTTGCCGTTGTCGTTTAATATACTCAGTGATGAATTGAACAAGATTAATAGCTTCATCTCTTAAAAATGTAAACAGTCTTTTCACTTGTCTTGAGAGAAATGTTCCGGAATGTGAACTCTAGATGGTCTGATGGCCTTTTGTGCTGTGATAATTCACCGCTGTAGCCAAAGTAAACCCTTTCTTTTCCAGATTAAATGTATTTCCTGTGGTGTGGTTATGAACCATTGTCTCAACTTCAGTTGTGCAGTTTTTCACAAGTTACTCTTAACTATTCAGCTGACACAGGATCTTTGCCATTGCTTAAATTATTCCATTTTCCTTTCATAAAGGAATTCTATAGTGCGCTCGGTGTGCTATATCTCTGAGTGATTGATGAAAAATGCTTTTCTGATAGTTACAATTCTCCTGCTTTTCTTTATAAAAGTTGAGGATTCTTCCGAGAAGAGCCACACTAATAATTTAGGAACTTGAAAGCCGGTAATGAGTGAGATTTAGCATTTATTTATCTGCTTCAAGAGAAGAGTTTTGTGGGTAGAGAACTCTTCCATCTCCTTCTGTCTTTATCTTCCAGTCCCCTTCAGTTTAGCAGAGGTGGGGAATAAGCCTTACAATCTGCTTCCATCTTTCAGAAAAGCTGTTTTAATGTAAAGTTGTCCATCCCTTTGGTTTTGGTTGAGATGGCATCTAAGGGGGAATTCCTGCTCATCTGTTGTGTATTGGGTTTTTTAAAGCTCCATAGGAAATAGATGGAACGTTCTGATCTGACTCACAAAGCTCAAATACCTAGAGCAGTGTCTTTAGCTCATGGGGAATGAAGGGAGAATTTCCATTAATGTTCCTTAAACACTTTGCAGCTTCTTCATTACCACCTGGGCTCCTTCCTTTCCCTTTGAACACTTTTAAATCCTTTTTACTTTCCAGCTTTGATTTTTGCTGTTGCTCAGGGCACCTCCTCTCCCTTTACCCAGTTCCACGAACTCTTGTTGGTGTAGGAACTCCTGGCCTTCAGCCCCTGATATCAGAGTAGCCTCCAAATGTCACTACCATAATGCAGTGCATCTTCAAAAATTTAAAATTTCCTTCCTTTTGATACTGTCTTCTAAACAAGTTGTTCCCATATTGTTGGCTGTAACCGATCCCATGTGCTCTTAAGTCCTTTAAATAAATCTGTCGAGTATTTATGGAACGTAAATTTTGACTAACGTTTTCATACAAACTGTTCCAAAACACAACTCCTCTGCAGCAGAGCCTGCAGACTCTGAGTTTCTGCTGTCTTTGGAAAGGACTCTTCGTATACGGAGCCTGGAGGTGTCTCTGCAGCACATGGGAGAATCCTTATGGCTCCCCAGGGGAGGGAAGGACAGGGGTTTCTTCACTGACCACACTAAGCAGCGTTGGGTATTTATCTATTTATCTATCTCTATCAGAGAATCCCAGGTTGGAAGGGACCTCAAGTATCATCTGGTCCAGCTTTTCTTGGCAAAAGCGTGGTCTAGACAAGATGGCCCAGCACCCTGTCCAGCTGCATCTTAAGAATTCCTCAAAAATGAGGAATCTACCACTTTTGGATTCCTCAAAAATGAGGAATCTACCACTTTTTTGGGGAGATTAGTCCACCAGCTGATTGTTCTCATGTTGAAAAACGGAGATTATTCCAACGGCTGATTGTTCTCATGGTGAAAAACTTTCTTCTTGTGTCCAATCAGAATCTCCCCTGGAGTAATGTGTACCCATCACCCCTCGTCTTTGCCGTGTAAAATGGGAGTCTCCATCTTCTTTGTAGCCACCTTGAAATATGGGAACGTGGTGATAAGGTCCGCCCAGCACCCTGTCCAGCTGCATCTTAAGAATTCCTCAAAAATGAGGAATCTACCACTTTTTTGGGGAGATTAGTCCACCAGCTGATTGTTCTCATGTTGAAAAACTTTCCTCTTGTGTCCAATCGGAATCTCCCCTGGAGTAACTTGTACCCATCACCCCTCGTCTTTGCCGTGTAAAATGGGAGTCTCCATCTTCTTCGTAGCCACCTTGAAATATGGGAATATGGTGATAAGGTCTCCCCTAAGCCCTCTTTTCTCAAGGCTGAACAAACCCAGTTCTCTCAGCCTTTCAGCCTTCCCAGCCCTTCAGTTGTCTCTCAGCCTTTCAGCCTTCCCAGCCCTTCATTTGTCTTGGTGGCCCTTCCCTGGCCCCTCCCCAGCCTGGCCACAGCTTTTTTGCACAGGGTGGCCCTTCCCTGGACCCTCTCCAGCCTGGCCACAGCTTTTTTTGCACATTGGGGACCAAAACTGAACACGGGATTCCAGATGTGTGGGAGAATGACTTCTTCATCTCTGCAGTGATGCCCTTGTTGATGCAGCCCAGCATCCCTTTGGCTTTCTTTGCCACAGCAACACAATATTCACTCCTCTTGAGCTTGTTGTCCACCAGAACCCTCAGCAGGTTCCACGGAGCTGCTCCCCAGCCGGGTAGATCCCAGTCTGTGCTGGGATTATGTTTTCCCAGGTGTGAGACCTTACGCTTGTCCTTGTTGAACTCCATAAGGTTCTTGATAGCCCACTCCTCCAGCCCATCCAGACCTTCCTGCAGGGTTTTTCTCCCTTCCCAAGTGTCCACGTGCCCACACAGTTTGGTGTCATCAGCAAACATCCTCAGGGGACACTTGGTCCCATCATCCAGATCATTTACAACAATATTAAAGAGCGTCCCCAGCCGGGTAGATCCCAGTCTGTGCTGGGATTATGTTTTCCCAGGTGTGAGACCTTACGCTTGTCCTTGTTGAACTCCATAAGGTTCTTGATAGCCCACTCCTCCAGCCCATCCAGACCTTCCTGCAGGGTTTTTCTCCCTTCCCAAGTGCCCACGTGCCCACACAGTTTGGTGTCATCAGCAAACATCCTCAGGGGACACTTGGTCCCATCATCCAGATCATTTACAACAATATTAAAGAGCGTTGGGCCCAGTATCGATCCCTGGGGGACCCGGCTTGTGACACGCTTCAGGTTTAAGAGATTTAACAGATACCTGATTATGTGGGAGAATTTTGTGCATGATGAGGTAGATCCAATAGGAATATAATTATGGCCTGGACCCATATGTAGAGAAGTTGCTTCATGTGCCACTGTTTGTGGCATCTTCGTAAGCGTGAGAAGTATCTTTTGCTTCTCATATGTCAAGAAAATTATGTCCTAAACCTGCAAGAAGAAAAAGTATTTTCCTATTTGAATTTTTGACATACAATGGTATCATGTTAGCATATTTCTGATTAATTCCCTTTGTTCTATGATTTAGGAGGCTTTTTTGAAATGACAAGTGTTTATTCTGTCTCTTGACATACAGTCTTTTTTGAACACTAAGGATGCTCTATTTGAGGCAGCCATTTCTAGTTAAATTGCTTATAGACTTTGTCTTCTGTAAATGGTCATATTTAGAAATTGGTTTGGACCAAACTGTATATAGTGGAAAAATGTTACAGATGGTTTCTTACAAAATATTCACTAATAAGTTGGTATGGACTGATAATTGAACAATTTACAATGAAAATTGGGGCAGAAGGAACTGGGAAGGATTTGAGATGAAAAAGCAAGAGTTGATGAAGTAGTTTGGCAACAACCTCTTAAAATAATTGCCTTTTTTTTGGCATTTCTTAGAGGGGATGTTCTTTGTAGTTCCATTGAAGTCAGCCGTGTATATTTCCAGGCTGCAGGGGGTGTGGGTAAAAAGAAGAAACCAAGAAGTTTGGGGCAGGAGGTTTCTCATGCAGCTTCTTCTTTTCTTCCACCTTTCCCTCAGGGAACAGTAACCGAAGAGAAATCAAAGGCTACACACCATGTTTATCCAAGTCCTACCTCAATGGATGATGGTAAAGTTGCTTTCCTGTTTTTAAGTGGAAATAATCTTGTTGTTAGATTCTATTAGCATTTGTGGGAGCTTTCACACCAAATCTTCCTAACCTGCTCCTGAGAGCTGCTGGAAAAGTCTTTCTAGGATTAACAACTCCAAATAAAATCACTGTGAACTGCTTCTAATTATTGGGATGTAACATTCCCATTTTTTAATTGATGCATTTTCTGTTTAAGTTGCATAATGCTGACTGCTCTGCAGTGATTGCGTTGGAAATTGAGCTATTATTTATTGCTAAACCCAGATAGACCTTTTTTTTTTTTTTGGTTCCAAATACCATGAGGGCTGAAGGGGAGCAGTGCTAAGGGTCTGGAAGAACTTAAAACAAGAAATTAGCTTAGATTAAAAATTAAAAGGAAGGATGGTGAAAGCAGGGGGCTTAAACCTAAAGTTTCCATTAGGTTTTTTTTATTTCGTTGCTTCCTTAGTGTCCCCCAGTGTGTGAGTGTAGGTCAAAACGCTGAGTGAAATGTTATTAGGAATCATCTAGATGTAGGAAAGGTAGCAGAGATGATGAAATAGATGAGAATTGAAAAGCTTTTTGCCGTGTTCTCCTCTTCCCAGGTGCCAGGTTGGGAATGCTGATAGATATCAGGGCATGGGGGTTGGTGAGGTGAATACGGTAATAAGGAGACCTGATAAATAGAGATTATTGGCTTTATTATAATGCAGTCTGCCTCTGTAGGAAGTACACAGGCTCCACAAAAGCAATTCTTCAGCAAAGAGCAAAAAAAAAGAAAAAGAAAGCTTTTAATTTTATTATACAGGTAATTGTCTCGTGGATCATTGTTGTTGAGTCTGAGCTTCATTGATGGTGGCCACTAGATGGAAGTGTTCACTCCGGTTTAGCAGCAGTTTGGGCTCATTTGGCCTCTGGTCCTTGCCTGTGTCCCTGCTTCTGCTAATATCATGCCTGGCCACAGGTTAATATTTCTTTTTAACCCCTTCAGGTTCTCAGAAAGGGCTCAGCTTTGTAGGTCCCATCTGTCTTGTGGTCAGGGAAGGTGCCAGACAGAGCTCTCAGCCCCTGGTTGTACTGAGCCGTGGATCCAAGCAGTGTAACTTCGTACAGGCTCAATTCCTCAGGGTTTCTCTTTTCATCCTGCTCTGGGCCATATCCTCAATATTTGGATATTTGGGTTGCAGAGGGGAGCTTATTACATTGTGCCAGATGTGCTGTTTAAAAGAAAAACCATTTTTTCTTGCAAAATCAGCAAAGTATGAATGTTGCTCAGTAAGTCTGTACTAAGCTGAAGTCCTTATTAGTGCTGTTGTGAAAGAAGTTAAAAAAACTTGGATTTCAACTCTCTTGGAAGTTTTTTATTAAAATCTATTTCACCCCCTGCCCTGATGTTCTTCCTCCAAAACTCAGTTGTTTTTTTAAATACCTGTTGAGAGTAGAATCTAATACTGGGAAATAAGGTCTTTTGAAAGAAATATAAATCAATAGAAATGAATGGGAGGACTCAGATATGTAACAAGGATACGAAAGAGACAGAAGGGAAATATTTGCCGTTTGACAAAAGGGCATTTTGGAAAAAGTTTAATCTTTTATTTATATAGACATTAAAAAATGACAGATTGGAGTGTGTCTGTCTCTGTGTTATTTCTGCTGACTTTACTGAGTGTCCTCTCGGGGGGTTTGCTCGATCCCATTCTGAGTTCCTGCCCCAACCGGCCACGGAGTTTGTGAGATGGGATGGGATGAGAGGAGCTGGTGGGGGACAGAGCTCCCACCCATCAGGCAGAAACACCTCTTGCTTCTCTCAAGACACAGATGATTGTTTCAAACCTCACTGGATCTTAATCTTGTGTTGAGGGTTATGAATGTCAGGGAAGGAAACATAATAATTCTTGTCATTAAAATGACTCTTTGCCCTTTGCAGATGAATGGTTGAGACCTGTGATGAAAAAAGACAAGCAGGTGCTGGTGCACTGGGGCTATTTTCCAGACAGGTAAGAAAGGGTGGGGGGAGAAAGCACAGCCCAAACCTTGCTGACTTTATTGAAGAAAAAGTGACGATTAAAACTTGCAAATAGGAAAATCTGTGTCCTCAAACAAGCTGTTCCTTCAGCTCACTGAGTCTTCTCTCTCCGGGGCCCCGTGGTTATCAGTGTGGGACCTGCATGAGGAACATCCAAAATGTGTGGGCTACAGCCATGCTCTGCTCTTGTTCTGCAGAATATGACCTACTCAGACTTACCTCACGCTGGGTCTTGTAAAAATTTAACCCAAATACAGAGTACTGCATCCCTGATGTTGTGATTCTGAGTGATTCCACAGTTATTCATCCTGAGACAAGCAGTGGTTGGCTTATGGAGTATAACCACCCAGTAATTTATCATTGCTGCCGTTTCCATCAGAATCCAAGGCCTGAAATGATTTAATCAGTGACTTAAAACAGAAATATGTGTCCCCATTTGTCGTAGCGGCAAGTGGGCGAGGGTAGAAAAGGAGAGTCTATTTTTCTGCAGAGCCACTGGTAAGGTTGTGAATTGAAGCAGATTTTCAAAGGGCGGAGTGAGCCTTTCCAGAAAGTCAGGAGATTTTAGTTAAAGCCAAAAGGGAGAACTTCTCATCACCTACTTGGCCTTTCTTCCACACAGAGAGATTTCACTCCGTGGGTTGCCTTTAGTCAACTCTTGAAAGCGTCATTTTGAGAAATCTGCCCTGGGTTGTTAGAAGACGTTGAAAGGAAGCGTATGTAGTGTTAGGAACTTAAATGCATTTGTAATATCTGGTTTCTGAGTCCAGGTTATGGAAAACTCAAAAGATTGATAACCCGGCGTTGACTTCTGTTTAAATAACTTTCTCAGGGTACTCAGATCTGCTCTGCACCCACAGAATTCTCAGGAATTATATTCATATTTCAGTGGAAAAGAGCAAACAACAATCCCACCTGAGTTTCTTTCTTCATACAGATGAAGAACCTTTATATTTTTTTTTTTTATATCGTGTTGACTCTGAGTGTGTGTAAATGTATTTACAAATATCAGTATAAAGCTGGGGAACGCTGTAGACATCTTTTCTTGCATGGGATTTATCCCAGTTGCTCAGTATGTGCCTGGTGTCAATTACAAAGTATTTTGGCTTTTGTGGTTACTGAGTGCAGTTTCTTAGTATTTTTATAAATAGGCTTTGGAGGGAATAGCACGTGGAAAAGTGGATGTGAGTAATAGCTGGATTCTACAGCAGTAGGGATCGGAGGAGAGGATGCATGCTCCTTTCTTCTAGGAATCTGGTATCTCTTGCTTTAAACTCATAAGAACAGAAACAAGTTAATTAAGTTAATGCCAGGGTTTGAACAGGTGACTCAGAAACTGCAATTATACCCCTGAATCTAGAGAGCAGATTTGCAATTTTAAGCTGGAACTGCCTTCCCTGAGATGGCTTTTAAATTCAGAAAGTGAAAAATGTGCAGGAAGATGCCTTGGAGCCCTCCCTTTTCAGTGTGCCCTGTTCCTGCAGCAGAAAACAGTGATTATTCCTTTAACTTTTCATTGTGTGGAAAATATTTTGCTGTTCTATCCCAGTGATACAATTTGCACGGGTCAGAATTGCTGAATTAAATATTCCTGCTGGTGATCTTTGGGGGATAAACAGCCCAGGGGGAACCAATTCTGTTTTCTCTTGACTCCTCTCTTTAGCTACGACACTTGGGTTCACGCCAATGAAATAGATGCTGAAATTGAGGATCCTCCCATTCCCGAAAAGCCGTGGAAGGTGAGTCTCTCTCAAACAGTTTCCCAAAGTTACTGTGTTGGTAGAGTTTGTCTGGGTGCTACTAATTACACGTTTTAATGAGGTGCTGAGTAACAATAGATGTATTTCCATATTATATGGAAAAGCAGAGCCATATTTCTGGAGCTGTAATGAAAATGTCTAAAATATTTCTTTGGTCTGGGGGGAGAAGCTTTTTGAAAAAGTACTTTATTTTGTGTTAAAGGTAAGTTCTTCCACTGCTGCTGAAGTGCAGCCATCTCTGGGATGAAACCCAGCAACTCCATACAGTGACATTACACCTTTTAAGGTCTTTAAGGAGAGAAAGTGGGGAAAATCCCCTATCTTTGTGATGTTTTTTGGAAGAATATTGTTAGAGAAAAGCACCATCAGGTTAAAAACCTGAGGCTTCCACACCTGTATTGCAGGGCTTAATATTTTGTGTGTAGGAAGTTCCTCCATTTCTAGAATATAGAAATAGCCAAAAATATCAGGAGCTGGATAATACAGAAATTAAGAAGCTTCTCTAGGAGAACAAATCTGAATTTTCAAAGTCTGGTACCATCGAAATCTTGTCCCTTCCCTTTGAGTTATTCTAAGGGCAACTTTATTTCTGGAGGTTTCAGGTGTTGGGAGCAAAATAGAGCTGTGCTAGTGAATGAAAAAACCAGTAGGTGTTTAAAGGGTCCCTGGGGGTCATTATCTCACCTTTCTTTAGGGAAAGGTTCCATTTAATGGGAACTCAGCTCATAACTGATGTCCCAGTGATGCAAAAAGTCAGCGCTTCTCAATTGTTGAGCATCATGAGCATTCAGGCCAAGAGCAGCAGCCTTATTTAGGTTCTTAATTGGTTTTCTTTCTACAGAAACGATTTGTCTTTCTGATTTAGCTCGTTGGGAGTGAACAATACAGAGCGGCTGTAATCAGGCAGTAGTAAATCTACTTTATTGTCCTTTTATTGGACTTACTCCTTTATACATAACAGGCAGCGGTGTTCCGTGTGGGTGCTGTTGGTCTGACCAGCAGAGTTGGAGCAGCTGAGGCCAGAAAATAGCTTGGTGTCTGTTCAAACACTACTTGTTCCAAGCAGTGACCTGTAACTTTGGTGTAAATCATACCAAAGCTCAGCAATTTATTTCCAGCTGTGTAAACTTGTACTACATTTGAAGATGGATATTGTGAGTTAAGATACTCAATGTTTTCTTTCCAAGATATGGCCAACTTTTAAATTTTTTTGATCTTTTGTGGCACGTCTGCTGAGCTGATCTGTGGATTTAGAAGGTTTTGATGGTAATTTTCAGCATCCAAAGTACATTTTTAATACAGAGCCATTGTCCCAGCTTTGAGAACTGACCTCACACTTCAGAAGGCTTAAAAATGGCTGAGGAACAGACGTGGCGTTCAGTAACCTTGTGGGCATGTTTGTCCTCTATTGTATTGCCTCATGGAACCATTATGAGATACTTGGATGTTCAGACCCTGATAACAAATTATTTCCTTCGTCCTATGAGGTATTTTTTCAAAAAACATCATGTCTCTCTGTCGTTTTGTTCTCTAGGTTCACGCCAAGTGGATTTTGGACACGGATGTATTCAATGAATGGATGAACGAGGAGGATTATGAGGTGGATGAGAACAGGAAAACAGTGAGTTTTCGACAGAGAATCTCCATGAAAAATGAAGAGGTAGGTGGTTCTCTGCTTAGTAAGTGACCTGTTGGTACATTAATACAATCTGTCTCTGCATAGGTCACATTTTTTGGCACTTAAATTTGCTAAAATTAAGCCAGTTAAACATTTAGAGGTAACAAAGTCTAGTTTAACTTTTTTCTGATGTATGTCCTTTATCCAGAAGTGTAAGTGCACCCTTTGATTTTGATTTTTCCCCTCTCCCAGAGGGTGGTAAGAGATAGGACCCGCTCTGCTGTCTCATAACTAAACCTGTGGAGATGTTAATGAGCAGCAGTTAATATTCAGTGTTCAAGAAAAAGACTTGTTAACTAATATTTTATGCCTCCCGATGCAAGAAGTTAGTGAGGACTCTGAAAACACATTCACTCAACCTTGAGGCCAGGCTGGGAAACCTCTCCTGATGGACAGAAGATATTGAACAAGTCACACATTAGAATCCTACTGTGTTTTAAAAGTGGAGTGTTTTACTACTGTGTTTTATGGAGCGTCTGGGGGGTGGCTGTAGAAAATTCCGGGCTTTTCCCAGTGACAAATGGAAGTTTTCTGGAGCTGGAAGTGGCGTGTGTTGTGATATTATTGCTTTTAGCCTCTCTGCTGTAGGGTGTGTTCCGGGAGAGCGTAGCCCACAGCATTTCAATACCTCTAGTATTTGGGATGAGCTAATTACTTCACTTCTCTAACAGCCTGTGCGGAGCCCAGAGAGGAGAGACAGGAAAGCAGCAGCCAGCACGAGGAAGAGGAAGCATTCTCCTTCTCCACCCCCCACTCCTGTGGAGTCGAGGAAAAAGACGGGGAAGAAAGGGTGAGTGTCCCAGTCCTGGAATTCGAGGAGAATTTTCTTGAAGAAATGCTTCTGGGGAGGTGTCTGTCACCTTGCACCTATCTCACCTTGGGTTACAGCAGAGTAATTATTTCTACAACAGACCTGAGTGGTTTTGCTTGTGCAATATGTGGAATTTCTTTATTTTTCTGTAGAAATGTATTGCCTGCAGGTGGGGGAGAATCTAGTGCGAGCTGTCGTGTTATCTGTGTCAGTGGTGGGGTTTGCTGCTGCATCAAGAGACCTTAATAAATGAGAAGTTACTCAGCTGCTTCTAAAATAACTCCCAGCTAGTTCTCTTGGTGCAATCATGTAGTGCATCTACACTTTTAGAAGTAGTATGTCCAAATATATATCACGTATTTGAAATTGTATCCAACTAAGAGGTTATTTGTGGGAGTTTGTGTGGATATGGAAGGGAACACTTTTGAAATAAAAATTCAGCTCTTGTTTAATAGACCTTTTTAGCTCTAATAAGACAAAACTAAAAATATATCATGTGAGATAAAAAAGAATTAGCTGATCATCTGATTTTGGCCCAAATGTACACTCTGGGTTAGGTTCTGTAGGCAGAGGGGTGGGTAATGCTGCCTTTGCTTTCTTCTGTACGCAGAATCAATGGTACAAGCCAGCCTTTTGCCTTTTCCTTCCTTTTTTCCTTTTCCTTTCCAACCGTTTTGGGTTGGATTCAAGATTTCTTTACGGTAGTCATCTCTGGTCTTGAAACAAAGACTTTTTTTTTATTCAAACTTTATTTTATTGCTATTTGGAGGATATTTTTTTCATTAACTCCACCAGCACCACTTCCTACAGCCTTCATATTTTCATAAGTGCTTTAACCCAGTCCTTTAATCCTGATATTTGAAGAATAATGGCAAGATGAGAACATCTGGGGGTTGCAGTTGGCAGAGAATCTGTGTGTGATCTGTTTTAGACAAGCAGCCTTATACGGGAAAAGGAGAGGGCAGAAAGAAGAGGATGAGCAAGAAGATCTTACAAAGGACATGGAAGATCCCACCCCGGTACCTAATATAGAAGAAGTGGTGCTTCCCAAAAATGGTAAAATATGCATATGCTGGATTCTCTGAATGTTAAAACAATTCCTTAAACTGCATTGAAAAAATACACACATGTATTTTGTTAAATCTCTGAAATACTTTGTGGCCATGGGGCCAGGTGATCTGTGCCCATCTGGAATTATCGAGTTGAGGATTTGAATGGGGCAGAAGATTCACCACCTCTTGATTTTTTTTGAAGTATGTTTATGAAAATCCACTTAAAAGTTGAATTTCACCGGTTTTAGGATTGCTCTCACCCATTATATAGAGTTCATGTTTGGGGGTATTGAGTTTTCTGGTGGGAAAGAATTGGCCAAGTACCCAAAATAAGTACCTCAAATGGGTGGAAACCAGCAAAATGCCAAATGCAGCAGGTTCTTAATCCTGTTCTGAAAAGTGTTAAGAAAAGTCAGAGAAATAATTCCTTCTATCGAGTCCTTGACACCAAACCTTTTTGGGTCTGACTCTGGTTTTTACCTGGTTTGAACTCTCCTGTAAGAGTTGTGGTGTGTTGTACAGGTGGAAAAAGTACTGTGTTCAGTCCTTTCGCTGCGAGAATAGAAGCTGCTTTGTGTTCAGATGTGAAATCACAGCGAAATCAAACAAATGGTCTGTTGTCCTCAAACTGCACAGATGAACTCTCTTGAACTGCAGAGACACAACCAACAAAACTCTTTATTGATAAGATAGTACGAGGGCGCTGGGCTTGGGTAATTGTATCTCGCCTCATGGTCACTCACCAGAGTTTCAATTCTCCTTCCTTTTGTAGTGAACCCAAAGAAAGACAGCGAAAACACGCCGGTGAAAGGAGGAACAGTGGCAGACCTCGGTAAAACAAACACACAACACCCTCCAGCATCCTCACCCCTAAATTATATAATAAAATCTCGCTTGCAGGCTGACGGAGTAAATAGTTTCAAATCCCTACATTTTAAAAGGAATCTCCAATTCTTCTATTTTTTTGAATTAATTAAATTTCCACATGTGTTCCAGTTGAAACGTATTGACTTTTATTCACTTGTAAAGCTGTTTCCTTGTAGGCATTATTTAGTTATTTTTTAAAGAGATATAAGCTCTTTCCTGGCTGATGTTTTTCTTACTGGTCAATCAAGGTGAATCACAGCTTCCCTGAGCTCTGCTGAGCCTTTGACAAGAGAGAGAGAAACTAATGTCCCCTATTCTTTTATACAAAGTTATGTCTGGGGTACTGGGAAAGGCAGTAATTAGGTCTGGATTCCGAAGTGTGGAAAAATTCTCATTATCCTTCCTCTGTAGTATTATCCTTTCCATTCTCTGGGATAGTTGAGTGTCTACGTAAGGATGAGATTGCCTTAATGATGGCTGGTCCACGTTCCTTTCCTCCTCCCTCCCTTCCAAAACAAATGAAATACACTTTCCCATTAAGCCATCGCGTTCCTAGAAGGGCTTAGGATCAATCAGATGCTTTTCACTGTGTAATTCTCAACTCTTTTCCCTTCCAGATGAACAGGATGAGGAGACGGTGGCGACCGGAGGAAAGGTAACAGCAACCATTTCTTTCTAAGTTCAGTAGAAACTGACACCATAGAATGGTTATGGTTTGGGTGGGAAGGGACATTAAAGCCCCCCCAGTGCCACCCCCTGCCCTGGGCAGGGACACCTCCCACCAGCCCAGGTTGCTCCAAGCCCCCTCCAACCTGGCCTTGAACCCCTCCAGGGATGGGGCAGCCACAGCTTCTCTGGCCAACCTGGGCCAGGCTCTCCCCACCCTCACACCAAACAAGTTCTTCCCCACAGCTCAGCTCCATCTCCCCTCTTGCAGTTCAAAGCCATCACCCCGTGTCCTGTCAACATCTTCATCTCACCGTCAGTAACAGCCTGTAGTGTTTTTCAAATGATACATAAGATCAAATTAGTTACTGATAGGAATGATATTTTGCTATTACAAAAATTCTACAAATGCTGCGAGATTATTTTGTATTTTTAAATCTAGTGTATTAAAAATTAGAATGAAGAGCCAGATGCAAAAGATTTTCAAAGAAGCGTTTTTCAGATGCAAGATTTTTCAAAGCCTGTGCTTTTTCTTTAGGTTTCAGTACTAAAACTAAACCCAGAGTAGGCTTCCTGATCATTTGAATAGAGTTGCCAGGGTAGTTTCTGTGTTTAATTGCTTTGTTGGTATGGCAGGCACTATTTTTAACAGCTTGCCTGATATAAGAACTGCCTGATCCTGCAGGTGAGGAAAGCTAATGTCTGTGTTAGGTTCATGCTGTTGCACACACACAGATGTTTGGATGTGTCCTTAGTTATAATTAAGAAAATCTGACTTTCCATACTGATGTATTTCTGGTTTTACCATATCTCAGTTGATACATCCAATCTGTATATGTGTGTTCAGGAAAATCCTCAAAAAATCCTTTATTATATTTTAAAAGGGGAAAGATGACACCTCTAGGGATGCAAACCACTGCCCAGCTAGAAAGCAACTTTTTTTTTAGATTTGAGGCACAGATATCTCTCTAAGGAGCAGAGGGTTTGTCTAGATAAATATCTAGATACAGACATGTGAGCAGAGACTGCCAAAATTCTTAGCAAGAGCTGTTTTCACCATGAGGGACACCAGCTCAGAAGGAACTTGCCATCAGGCTTTTTCAGTGTGGGAAATGCTCTTTATTTTTTTTCTTCTGTAACTTCTCCATCCCTGGGTGGAGAGTGACCTGGAACTGTGGGACTCGTGCGGTAGTGTTTGTTCCATGTGTGATTGGAAGAGGTTTGCTTTTCATGTCCTCTCTTTGAAGGATGTTTTTTTGAGGGGCCGTGGTCTGTTTCTCTGGGTAGTGAATGTGTTTTGAGAGGAGAAGGGCATTGGCAGCTGAGGGGATGATGAGAGGAAGGACTTCTCTTCCAAGTAGCTATTGTCACATCATGAAATATATTTCGAGTGATACCTTGTTGTCTTGGGGGGAATTTAGTGCCAGAAGAAGATAGATCATTGATGCCAAGGACTCTTTAACATCTTGCTTTAGGGACTTTGTTATTTTTTAAGTCTGGATGAGTAATTCAGGTAGAAAAAAACCACCATTTACTGTTGAGTTGCCTGCGGGTTCTTCAGTCAGCACCTGAGAGCTGTGAGAGATGGCTCTCACAACCTGTTAACCACTGTGTTCCCTCCGTGCTCCAGGAAGATGAGGATCCAAACAAAGGTGACCAGAGTCGGTCGATTGATCCGGGTGAAGACAACGTCACCGAACAGACCAACCACATCATCATCCCCAGCTACGCCTCCTGGTTTGACTACAACTGGTGAGAGAGTCCCTGGGATCTGGGGGAGGACTCAGTTTAGTGGCTCTTTGTCATAAATCAAGCTGAGAGTTGGAAGAAATTATTTCTCTTTAGGGCTTGTTCCCACGTATGAATACATCTTTCCCATTTCAAAATCTGCCTGAGCTGACACCTGGCAGTGTTCAGGGGTTGGGAATGAGGAAGAGAATTTCAAACAGCGTTAGAGCTTCAATCTGCCTCCTCAGCAGTTTTTGCTTTACATTGATTTTATTACTTTTTTTTTCCCCCCATGGGAAGACAATTCCTTTCTCTTCCCTCCTTCTCGAGTCCTTGTGTGATCTTTCTGTGTTTGTAGCTACTTCTGAACACTGGTGGCTTTTTATTTTGCTTCAGGTCTTGACCTTGAGGATAAGTCACCGATTATACAGGGAGAAAACTTATTTCATTTTGGAATCCTCCCTGGAGCTGGAGGTTTGTGGTGCACTATGACCACATGACTCACTATAGAAACCCTGATGTTCTCTGGATACTCACGTTTTTGTGGTGTGGGAAGAGGGAAGGGATTGGGAGTGAAAGTCCCTCTTATGTTGTAGCCAAACGCTTGGTTAAAAACTCTTGAGCAGAGCATTGGGAGCAGCAGCCCCAGTTCTAACAGCGTTCCCAGGAGGTAAATCACTTTATTTTCAAAGAAATAGAATAAACTTGCATCAGGTGTCCTTGTTCTGACCTTGCAAAAGGCGAACTTTGAAGCATCTCTGATGGGACCAGCAGATGTTCACGAGGAGCAGGGTGATGTGAAAAGAAGCTTTGATTTTTTTTTTTTATTTTATTTTTTTTTATTTGGATTCTGCTGCTCCAGAAACAGCACGTTAAGCTGATTTGGATTTAGGGCTGAAATAACAGCACAGCTGCGAGAGAGACGTTTTTTTTTCTGTCTCTGAGCACTTTCTTTTCATTCTGAGGTGGGTTTTTAGATTCTGGAGAAGCCGAGAGCCTGTGGGTCGCACTGTCCCACCTCAGCCTGTGGGTGTTCCTGCTGCTGTGCCAGCAAATCCTTCTTGGGTTATATCAATATTTAACCAACCCGCTGTCTGCAGCCCTCCCAAACTGCAAATACTCCTTTAGCGTGTCCAGTCGCAACTGATTTATAGTAAACCAAAGAATGGTTCTAATCTGTTACTGTCAAAATGGTTTATAAACTGCCTTTTTAGAATAATCCTCCCTAAAATTAATTTTCTAGTAAAAAGATACATTTTCTTTAATACTCAATTCCATTTCAGTGGAATCTCTTATGCTTTGGGCAACTTCAGCACAAGAAGTAAATAATTTTTTTTGTTACTAAAATCCAAACAGTTTATGGACTAACCTTCATCCTCGAGTCAGAGTGTTTTCCCACAAATGACAAGAGTGAAATTGGAGTGAATTGGACATTAGGTTAAAAGCAGAACATACAGGAAGAAGGAAGATTTGTGAAGAATATATTTTTCTGTATTTCCTTTAAAAATAACAATTCTTAAAGGACCATTGTGGTTCTCCAGATTTTAACTTATGTAAAGTACCTGCCATTCTATGAGTTTCTGTCTGAAGTTACTCTAACGAGCCCTGCATTTCTGGCACTTCCTTATAAAATGGAAGGGTTTTTAATCTTGAAACTATTTCATCACTTAGTAGTAGGTGGGTTAAATCTTGGGTCCCTCAATTTGCATATTAAGATCTTAGGAAAGAGGAAATGAGTTGACTAATGGAGTTCCATTAACTCTGGCTGTTTCCTTGCATTATAATTCTGCTTTGCAGTGAAAACCTTCTTATATATTGCACTATGTGCCATGGAAACTTCACCTGGAACAGCTATGGAAGGGGAAAAAAAAGAAGTATCTGTCAAATAACTAAAGCTGAATTTTCTGTGATCTTTACCATAGTTTATTTTATATAATGCACAGCATTTTGTGGGTCGTTAGTTCTGCTCTTCCAGATGGGGTCAGGTTTTGCTCCGTATTTCTTCCTTGGAGTGCAGAGGGGAAGAATTCTTTATCAGATGGTGTTTAAGTCACTCCAGAATATCCAAACTCTGGAGTTTATTTTCCCAATTGACCAGGGAGGTACGAGCTATGTTCTTGAAGCCAGTCTCCTGCCTGATTTGTGAGCTCTTGGAATTTCTGTAGAGCAACTTGGGAGTGGGAATCAAAGCACTTGCACACACGTCTTCTAATTTTGTGGGTCGTTAGTTCTGCTCTTCCAGATGGGGTCAGGTTTTGCTCCGTATTTCTTCCTTGGAGTGCAGAGGGGAAGAATTCTTTATCAGATGGTGTTTAAGTCACTCCAGAATATCCAAACTCTGGAGTTTATTTTCCCAATTGACCAGGGAGGTACGAGCTATGTTCTTGAAGCCAGTCTCCTGCCTGATTTGTGAGCTCTTGGAATTTCTGTAGAGCAACTTGGGAGTGGGAATCAAAGCACTTGCACACACGTCTTCTAAGCGTGTGTGTGTGTGTATATATATATATTTACACACCATAAAAGCTAGTTTCTTTGAGCTATTGGTGCTTTGCTGAATATTCACACTAAGTAGGTTGGAGAATAAAGGTGTTTCTGTCAGAACTCCTGAAGGTGGAGTGGAAAACGGGCGGCTGCTCCGTGCTTCTCCAAGTTTGATCAGGGCAGTGTTGGGTGTGTAGCTCCTGAAGGTGGAGTGGAAAACGGGCGGCTACTCCGTGCTTCTCCTGAGTTTGATCAGGGCAGCGTTGGGTGTGTAAGTTCTGCTTTGATCAGTGACTGGGTTTTGAGATGCTTTTTTTAATGCAGCTTTGCTTATCTGATGGAATAAGCAAATTTTAAAGGGTCATGCTGGAATACTGGGGTTTCTGAAAAAGAATAAAAATAAAATATATTCCATGCTATAAATGTTCTCCCTCAAAAGATGTGCAGAGTACTCCAATAGTATTTAATATTTGGCCTCTGAATTGTGTTTTCTCATTACAGTATTCATGTGATTGAACGTCGTGCTCTTCCTGAATTCTTCAATGGAAAAAACAAGTCCAAGACTCCAGAAATGTAAGTAAAATGTGTGAATACAGATGTATAAGAGCGTGGCAGGATAAAGTTCTGGTTTCCTGAATCCTGTGGTCATGTGTTAAATAGATGTGTTGTCTCTGGGGGCATGAAAGGAGCAAAGAGCACTCGTATGATCACTTCTTGTAGTTTGGTAATATCTCTGCATTATTGAAGTAGAGCTAAAAGTTTAAATATCGAAGTAATAGTTAATAGTAGTTATCCAAGAAAAATAAAACTAGTTTCTCCCAAGTAATACTGGAACAAATTCTTGACTTTCCTTGTGTGGTACAAGAGGTGATCATCTTCCCAAGAAGCCTGAAAAATTCATGATACTGTAGAAACTTGATAATCCTCTTTTATTTGTCTCTCCCTTCTCATGCCACGCTGTATTTTTGAGGCTGGGGAGTTCCATGTGTAAGCCCTGATGAGCGAGTTTGTTTGTAGGATGCTGTGTCAGAGCGTGGAATGGATTTTGCACAGTTATCTGTGGTGATTTCACAGCTCCCTGAGCAGCTGATGGGTAATTCTGAAAGTGCAGGTGAGGGCTGGAAAACGAATCTTCACAGGCCTGAGATGTAACCGTGTCTTCAAATACTGGATACTCTGATTTAAATCACAGAGCTGGAGTCCTGCATTGCAAGAAGAATAATATTTTTTTCTTATATAGTTGTTCTAAACCCTCTGGGGACATTTTTATTCTGGATATGGCTATTAAATCTAGGAGGAGTTTTTACATCCAGTTTGTACCAGTATCATCTCCTTGTGGGGTCTGGTGTCTACTGCAAAACTTAGTTGTTAATTCAAAGTTATATGCACTCAGCTGTTTAAATAGCTTAGACAACTTCCCTCAAGCTGCTTAAAATGGGGGGAAAAAAAAGCTGATTATTGTCTTGAGGTATTGTAGGTTTTTTCATACATGAAATTATTTAATTTCTGATCTGACTTGGCAACGTAACAAGAGAAGCTGCTGATTTTGCATCAAATTCTTCTTGAGAATCTACCATGAGGCTTGCTACATGTGTTAGTTAAAGAGAATTTCTTGTTATAACAGTAAATTTAGTTATTTGGAGCAATCCTGAAAGGTGATTGATTGGAGGAAAGTGATCAATATCAGGCTGATATCTCCCACCAGGTTGCTCCAAGCCCCCTCCAACCTGCCCTTGAACCCCTCCAGGGATGGGGCAGCCACAGCTTCTCTGGCCAACCTGGGCCAGGCTCTCACCACCCTAATAGTGAAAAATTTTTTCCCCACATCTCATCTAAATCTCCCCTCTTTCAGGGTCAAACCCTTCCCCCTCCTCCTAGGGCTCCCCTCCCTCATCCAGAGTCCCTCCCCAGTTTTCCTGGAGCCCCTTGAGGGACTGGAAGGGGCTCCAGGGTCTCCTGATGCTCATCCATGAGCTGCTGCTGGTTATTACTGATGAATGGAGCAAATTAGGGACTCCTCCCTGTCCTGATGTTATCCCAGAAGTGTGGTTTTGTTACCATTTAGAGATTGTAGGAATAGTGTGTGGTGTTGGCCTTGTGTTTTCTTTTTAAATAACATAAAAACATCCTTCTGAATGGAAATGTCTGGCCTCCAGCTCAGTTTTTGGGCGAAACAAAATACCGTGTTCCAGAAAGTTCATTCACTCAGGCAGGTTCATTCTGGTGACAGTGCTGCCCGGGGGGTGCTTTCTGTCTTAAAGGGAATTTTAACCAAATACTAGTTGACTTCTCTTATTTGCTGTTGACAAGTTTTAGCCAATGGGTCATGTCATCGTGGAAAACAGACTCCCTTCAGGATAAACTTCAGGGATGTATCTGTCTTGGGCCTCTCTCTTCACCTAGTGATGTGACCTTAACTAAGAAATAGCAAACCAATTTCTGCAGCCAATGCTGCTTCAAAGTTCCTGTCCCTGAGCAGGCGATAACCCAGTTCTACCCAGGAGCATTCAAAAAAAACCCCTTTTTTTTCCAGCAAGTTTCATATATAATTTGGTCAAAATGAAGATGTGGGATTTGGGCAGGAATGTGTGTGCTTATGTCTTTCCTGTGAAAGGCAGTGGTGTTCCATCTCTGTGTGGTTTATATTTGTGGTTACCTGCTCTTTTGCAGACTCCATATGAGACATCCCCATATTGGATTTTCCAAAAGCAGAAATCTGCTTATAATATGTTATTTTTAACCCGTCCTTGTGTAGGATGTTCCATTTTTAGTCCATCCAAAGAACAGGGCTAGCAAGAATTTTATGGTCACCGAATTGTCAGAGTTGGAAGGGACCTCTAGAGATCACCTGGTAGTTTATCTTATTTCAAGCAACTTGTATCAGGGGTCATAGAATCGTAGAGTGGTTTGGGTTGGAAGGAACCTTAATGGCCATCTAGTTTCAACCCCCTGCCCTGGGCAGGGACACCTCCCACCAGACCAGGTTGCTCCAAGCCCTCTCCAACTTGGCCTTGAACCCCTCTTCTCTTCTCCAGACTAAAAAGCCCCAGTTCCCTCACCCTTTCCTCATCAGAGAGATGCTCCAGATCCCTCAACATCTTTGTCACCCTTTGCTGGACCCTCTCCAGCAGTTCCCTGTCCTTCTGGAACTGGGGAGCCCAGAACTATTTGTGTGATCTGCAATTTAGGGATCCTTTGGAATACAGCTAATCCAAACACGAATAAAAATCCAGAACAAAACAGATGTGGAAGAGATGGGTCATATTCAGTATATAAAAATAAACTCTACTTATCTATTGCTTTTGATACTGAGTCTTAAACGTCATCAATTAAAAAATATCCATTGGTGTTCGCCCGTCAGTTAATACAAGTGTTTGGAGAAGGTGAAAGGCTAAACTACATGTTCTAAACTTTGTTAGACATTGGTGTATGTGAACTACTTATTAATTGTCTTCCAGATACCTGGCGTATCGCAACTTCATGATTGACACCTATCGCTTGAACCCCCAAGAGTACCTGACCAGCACTGCCTGCAGGAGGAATCTGACTGGGGATGTCTGTGCTGTTATGAGGTAAAAGCTGCAGATCTTTCTTTTTTAAGATGTTGATTAGCAGACAGTTTCCCCGCTTTTTCCATAAGTATGTGGAGTTTTTTCAGAAAAATTCCACGTTTTGCAACTCATTTACGTCAGTTTTATGATCGTGCAGCCCTCACGGTCCCTACTCTCTCTGCAGGTGGTTCCATGATGCAGCCCTAGCTTTGCTTTGCCTTTTGTCCTTAATCATTTCCTGTTATCTATAACCAAAAATGTTGTGTTTTTGTTGACTGCACTTCAGCAAGTTCCATAAAAGTCCGCACAAACTCATGCTGTGTGATTTGTATCACTATTTGTGATTATTTGAAGGATTATAGAAGATTCTGGATCTTGAGTTGATCCAGAAACACAAACCTCTTCCTTTGCTGTCTCCTCTCTGCCATGTCAAGCACCAGCAAGGCTTTAGTTATTAAGATTTTTAATTTGTTTCCTAGAGTACATGCTTTCCTGGAGCAGTGGGGTCTCATTAACTACCAAGTGGACCCAGAAAGCCGCCCCATGGCCATGGGGCCTCCTCCTACTCCCCACTTCAACGTGTTGGCTGACACCCCCTCCGGTCTTATGCCTCTCCACATCCGCACTCCGCAGGTGAGCCCCCTGGGAAGCTCCAACACGTTTTTGCCTTCACTCCAGCCAGTGTATGAATAATTTGTGTGTGATTTGCTGAAATGTTCACTTTTTTTGTCCTTCTGGGTTGAGAATTCCAGGTTGGACTCTCCAAAACAAATCTTTTTAGTATTTTAATGTAAAGTCATCTCTCTAGACTCATATTCAGCTTATTTTTTTTTCTAGTCTGTGTTCTGTTTAAAATTAGTCTGGTCCAGGTTGGACTCTCCAAAACAAATCTTTTAGTATTTTAATGTTATGTAAAGTCATCTCCCTATACTCATGTTCAGCTTATTTTTTTTCCAGTCCGTGTTCTGTTTAAAATTAGTCTGAAAACTTTAAATAACTCTCAATTCCTGCCCCTCTCACCTTTCTCTTGTCGTGTTTCTTCACAGGTTCCAGCTGCTCAGCAGATGCTGAGTTTTCCTGAGAAAAACAAAGAGAAACCAACTGATCTGCAGAACTTTGGGCTTCGCACAGACATTTACTCAAAGAAGACTTTAGCAAAGGCAAGTGTGTTGGCATTTTGTCCCCTGGGCCTTGTATTAAGGGTTTCTTCCTCAAGTGTCCTCCACTGGGTGACATTGAGACGATTTATGTTACTCTTAAATTCCTGGTTTGGATTCTTCTGTCGCAGTGTAGGATTGAGATACAGGTTGTGTTGGATGTTTGAGTTTGTAGAAATAAAGAAGTGTGCTCATCCCAAAATAGTCAATACTCTGTCTTCAAAGATGTATTTCACCTGAATGGTTGGAAATCAACAAGCTGTCCAGTAATTGAATAGAGAAATGGAGATCTTTCAGCAGGGTCTTTAACTGTCTGGTTTTCCAAATCTGAGCAGGGTTTTCCAGACTGAGAGAACAAGAAAGGTGCTTGATTGCAAAAGGTGTCACCAAACCTTTGCAGGGGATGTTTTAGCCCTTTCACTGCAACATACTGTATTGGCTGGTTAAAATTCTAGGATATAATTGTAATGATGTTGATAATTTCATAACTTGTTGCCTTTTAACTCCTGCTGCCTCGTATCTCTGTGTGTTTGTTCCTGATGGTGCTGGGAGCTGTTGCAGGAATATCATGTTATTAGTTCTGTGTAACTGGTTTCTGAAATCTAGTGTTTATTGTCCTAAGAGATCATAACTACTTAAAAAAACCCAACAAAACCAAATCACAAGAGATCAGGATTTATTTATAAAGCCTGATTCCTTATCACATGCCATGGAATGACTTCTTCACTTAGTTTAGGGAGGTGTAAATTTTCACCAAACTTGTGAATCTTTTACTGGTTCTGGACTCTGCTTCTGTTCACGAGCATCTGTGGCCATGAACTTGAGCAGATTTGTTTGCAGGAGTTGATTTCCCTTTTTGTTTTATGTGTGGCAATAGCTTTTTTGGCTGTTTGAGAACTGATCAGCTGCTGGATGACTCACTTTGGTTAATGTTCTCTGTGGGTTAATGATCCGCTCAAAATGTGTCTGGAGATGATTTCCTTCTCCTAAACGCCCTCTTCCTTTTGGTGTGGTCTTATACAGAGACATCCCATCGAGGGAAGGTTATTTCATGAGCAGGTGACAAGCAGCTTTTGGCTTTATTTGACATGTGATGGAAATATGGGTGTCTGCAGTCACGGAAGGGGAAGCTTTCACCCAAAGTTTTCTAACTTTTAGGAAATTTCAGGAGTTACCCATCATCTGTAGATTTGGGAGCAGCAACCCTTGGAGCCAAGTCATGGCTAAAATGGAGATTATTTTGCTGTAATTACTCTGTCTTTTCAGATAACTCATCTCACTCATAAAAATGTATCATCTTACTGAGTTACTGATGAACTTTCAGATAGATGAACTGATTTTTGGCCCAGCCTGCACCTTCCACAGTCCAGCTCCTCTGCCTCAGAAGCAGAGCTTTAATGGGGGCTAAAGTTACATTGACATAAGTCCTGCTCCTTTGTTTGAGTGGATGAAGTAACATTTTCCTTCTAATGTTTTCTTCCAAGGTGTTCTGTGCAAAAAGACCTGTATTTCACTATTTTTTTCCCCTTCTTTTGCAGAGTAAAGGTGCAAGTGCTGGAAGAGAATGGACGGAACAAGAGACGTTGCTGCTATTAGAAGTAAGTCCATGGAGAGTGAGGGCCAGGAAACTCAAATATGCAGGATATCACATGCTTTAAAAATCTGTGTATAGGTTAGTAATTACTTTGAGGTGGAGTTAGATGGCAAGTGCATGATTTTACAGAAACAGGGAGAGCAAAGCAGAGTTTCTGGTGGGAAGCAATCCCTTGAGACCCAACTGGTGAAGCTGGAGGAGGGAGTGGTTGAGTATCTGTGTGTACACGGCTTTTCAACTGGTTAAAAGTCACAGCTCTCCCTCCAAACCATATCTTTCTATTTGACCAACAAGAACGTTAGTACTAGAAAGAGATGGTGGTGACATCTGGGTACTTGAGGGGCTTCATCTACTTCAAGGTTCAGTTCTGACTTGTGTCTGCAAACCAGAAATTAAACATTTTAAGAACGTTTCCATAAACTCAAGAGCAGATCTTGCAGCACAGAGAGATATTTTCATAATAACAGTATGAAATAAACGCCCTTCAAGTATGAATATTTTGAAATTCTGATAAATTTAAAGGTTCCTGGCTCTGCCACAGCACGTTAAGGGAAACAGCTAATTTTTGAAGTTGAATTAGTTAAGAAACGGACATATCTGCTTCCTGTTCTCCTGCCACTCAGAAGGGAAGCTCTTTATTTAGTAGCTCTTTAATCCCATACATCTCCTCATTCCTTTTGCCGCGTAGCTGCGCTTGATGTGTTCCTTAAGCTTTGTCCCAAAGTCTACGAGAAATATATACGAGATGACTCAAATCACATCGGTGCTGTAAAAAAAAATGAGGTCAAGGAAGTGTTGGCACACTAGAATCCGGTCTTTGTCCCCAGATTGCTCAGTCTGATGCTCTTGAAGCACAGGGTAATTGTCAGGTCTCTTGGAGTTCCGGTCGGGGCTGGAAACCGTGGCAGGAGGTGCCCTGCAGAAGGATGTTCCGGTCCCTCCGCGCTCGCGTCGGGGCAGCCTTGTTTTTCAGAAGAAGAATCTTGGTGACCTGAAATAATTAATGTGCTGCCATTTCCTATAAAGAAATTGTCGTCTACTTAGTTTTCTTCTCCAGGAGGATTTTCTTGATGTAGAGGTTGGGTGGTTGTTGTTTTTTTTTCATATTTTTTTTTTTTCCTTTTATATAATTCAAGGTTCTGGTATAAGAATTCGAGCTTGGAAGGGTGTGTGTTTGTTTTTACTTGCAGGGAGCTTAAACCAGGCTGCAGTTCCATGATTGTTCTGCCTTTTTTTTGTCTTTCCATGTGTCAGTAAACCCATTGAAAAGTGAATTTAGTAAGGAAAAGCGTGGACAATGGGGCCTGACGGGGCTTGATGGGGCTGAACAACACTCAGCTTCTGTGTGGGGCTTCTCTTCTGAGCTGCCCAAAGCACCTCAGCAGCAACGTACTCTGATTCAGCCTTCACGGATATGGAAGGGTGTTCATCAAATAGCCAAAATAGATATTTATTTTTTTTTTAATGTGAGGTTGGTACATGCTGTTTAGCCTCTATTTTTATATTGGCACATGGTAAAATTTGCTTATAGGGTGAAAACAGCAAAGATGTCTTTCACACCATTCCTGGATTTAAAAACAAGACTAACATCTTGGTACTCTGGCTTTTTTTCTGACTAGTTTTAATATTTAAAATTCATTCTTTTGTATGTTTGTAGCTTGTGGTCACACAGAGCAAGCAGTAGCCTAACTAAATAATCTAGCTGACACATTCTTCTTTGCTTTTAAAAAACAAACCCAAAACCCCCCTAAGTCTTGAGATTGCGTTTTTATTTAATGTGAGTTTAAATTAATAATGTTTTTATTCTTCATTCTTCGTGGATTTAACCTATGAATAAATCAGTAAAGAGTATATCAGTTCAAGCATAAGTAATTCAGCTATAACGAGCCAGCTCAGTCCAATTAAATCCTCGGGGTAGCTTTGGGCAAATATATATATGCAGTGAAGTTCCAAAGAATAAATCTTATCTAAAATAATTATTGTCCTTCCGCTTGTTGACTGAATGAACTGGGGGGAGGAAATAGTGGTTCCCTCCCAGAATCATCTTTCCCTGCCACGCTGCTTCTCCCTAGCTCCACGGAGCACTATTCTTGCATAGTTAAGTGCATTTTCAGCTATTTATAGTAAGGATGGCTATTGTGAGAGCTAGTTTGTCTGGCAGAAAAATAACGAGCAATGAAGGAGAATGAGCAAAAAAAAAAAAAAAAAAAAGCCTCTCCGTGGCCACGAAGAAGCAAAGCTGATCTAATGTGATAGTGTGATTAAAAATGGATGTAGGGTGACACATTACAGCACTGAGATGGTGATAGGGAAAGGGAAATGAAGGTTGAATGTGGAATAAATCCTTCCCCGTGAGCATGACCCAGTGAACGGAGCGGTTCCTCGTTGCTGTAGACACTCAGGTGGGTGTCTACACATGTGGACACGGTTCAGGAGAGGGGTTCATAAGCAGCTGGGGACTGTTCATTCCTTTGGTATGGACCAGGCTGGCCAATGTAGTCCCATCTTTAGTCATTCCCAAACCATTGAGCTTTCAAAGCCCTTCGTGTTGTCCAGCTCCTGGTCTTCAACAGGGATGTTCTTCCCATGCAGCAAAGCTCTGCTGGACTCGGCGTTCCTGTAGCCTGGTACTTGCCCAGCTAAGCATTTTCTTTTCAGGGGAAAAAAACCCAAAACCCCTTGTTAAGGGATAATATTCTATTAGGCTCCCACTTTGGTTCTTTTACTAATTTTTAGTTTTTTAAAAAAAAACCTAGATGAGAGACTGTTGGGCTCAATGATCTTAAAGGTCTTTTCCCACTAAAAGGATTCTATGATTCTGGCTTCAGTAGCTCATTGTCATTCCATCATTATGTTGAGACTTTTCCTAAATAACTTCAAAAGTGAGCGAAATTCTGAATTACAAAATCTTTGATTTAATCTGGAAGTTCTTAGTTTGTCTGGTGGTTTATCTACATTGTAATGTAGATAATTAACCTGAATGCTTAATAAACATCAGATTGGTTAACGGCTGCTGGAGATCTGGTCTCTTCTGGCTTCATGATACAGAATATTTTCCTCTTGGGTTGGTTTTTTTTTTTGTTTGATGCTCTTTCATTTTTGTAACATCTGTTGGATCTAAAAACTGGACTTTCATCATCATGGGTAGTATAACTTTCATCATCATGGGTAGTATAAGTAAAAGTGTGAAATAAAGACTGTTTCTGCCCCAAAGAGCTTAGTGTGTTGAGACATAAATGAGAGAACACGAGAGTTGCCCTCGGGGAGTAGTTGTGGGAATTCAAAGAATTGGTGAGACTTGATAGAATAAATAAACTTATTTTTCTGTAAAGCTGTTCATGGGAAAGCAAAATGGGGAAACACTAACTATGCAAATATTATTCGTAAATCCCAAACCTTCTGACAGTTTTTTGATACAGTAACAGCATAAAACTCACGTGATGATCCCCACAGTTTAAATTTGATGCCCCAGTGAGATGTTCATATTTCTTCTGCGGAGTAATTTTGCTACCAGAGAAAATACAATGTTAAATAGTTGCCTGATCCTGATTTATTGTTCCGTCACCAAAAATAACTAGCACTGAAAATCTTTTTTTTGCCTAAAGTCAGGTGGTTTTGTTTTTTCCCCCAGAGTAGGCCGTGTGTATACGATGCTTTTTGGTTTTTGCAGGCTCTGGAGATGTACAAAGATGACTGGAACAAGGTCTCGGAGCACGTCGGGAGCCGTACGCAGGACGAGTGCATTCTCCATTTCCTGAGGCTCCCCATCGAAGATCCCTACCTGGAGAATTCCGACGCGTCCCTGGGCCCCTTGGCGTATCAGCCCGTCCCTTTCAGCCAGTCTGGCAACCCTGTCATGAGCACTGTTGCCTTCCTGGCCTCCGTGGTGGACCCCCGGGTGGCATCTGCCGCGGCCAAGGCTGCCTTAGGTACGGGTTGGTCCCAGCAATGGCTTTCACTTCATCTCCACAACTTGCTCTGCTCTAAAAATTTACCGTTTCTAGGGTTTCTTAAGGATGAGTTGTTGTAAAAACAATTTTACATGTATCTAGGAAGCAGATCTACTGATAGCCAGTTTGGTGCTCTCTTGTTGCTGAAACTACCAACTTATAGGAGAGTTACAATAGTTCTTGAAGGCCACTGAATGTCTAAAAATGGCTTGTGTTCCCCTCTTGTGCTCACTGACTAGTGATAGTGTTTCTGGGCACCACCTCGTAGTTGGTGTCACATTAGTGACATTAGTGAATCATAGAATCAATGGTTTGGGTTGGAAGGGACCTTAAAGCCCATCCCTGGGGCAGGGACACCTCCCACCAGCCCAGGTTGCTCCAAGCCCCCTCCAACCTGCCCTTGAACCCCTCCAGGGATGGGGCAGCCACAGCTTCTCTGGGCAACCTGGGCCAGGCTCTCACCACCCTCACACCAAACAAGTTCTTCCCCACAGCTCAGCTCCATCTCCCCTCTTTCAATTTAAAGCCATTACCCCTCGTCCTATCACTACGTGGGTAAATGCACAGTGATAAACTTGTATTTTCCCTGTCCCACTTTTGTGAAATTATCTGCCACATTATGTGTCTTCTAAAAAACCTGCTGAAATCGTTCCTTTTCCTTTTTTACTATTTTTCCACATGAAAAACAATTTTATATAATTGGGAAGAGACTCTTTCCTATCTCTCTCTCCTTCCTGAGAGAGAAAATTCACTATCAAATGTGAAAAGAAGGAATTTAACTATTTGAGAATTCATTTTATCGTGAGAGATACTGCCACATCGATCACAGAAAATCATCGCTTTTAAATTTGCCATTAAAAAAACCTCACAATAAATCATTTCTGTGTGATTTTTTTTTTTTTCTTTTTTTCCCAGAGGAGTTTTCTCGTGTCAGGGAAGAGGTTCCCCTGGAGCTGGTTGAAGCTCACGTAAAGAAAGTGCAGGAAGCAGCGAGAGCCTCTGGGAAGGTGGATCCCACCTACGGGCTGGAGAGCAGCTGCATCGCTGGGACGGGCCCAGACGAGCCGGAGAAAATCGGTAGGTTGTCCATCAAAACCCAGGAATTCCTGCTGAGGAGGTTTCTTGGGCATTTTCTTCTGACTCATAATGAACCCTAAGCTCGAGACGGGAGTCACAGGTAAGGAGAGGGGTGACAGAACATTCCATTTCTGCTTGCTGCAGGGTCATTAGTGTGTGACACAGAGTTAACAAACTTATGACTGCTTCAATTTTAGCAATTTTTCTTCCTCAAACTAAATGGAAATGCTGTTACTTGGGACCCGTAGAGTTGAGGTGGCAAAAATCCCAGAGCAGAACATTTTGCTCCAGTTCTGTGGGTATCAGAGCAGTTAAAGGATGCTGCCTCTTAGCGTTGTGGTTACGATTAAGCACCGCTGTGTTTTATCGGCTTGGTGCTCCAGTTGGCTTTATAAAGTTATATCACCCCTTTGGGTGGCCAGTTTTTCTCTAAGTCTTTACTGGACAGTCTGTTACTGACCATGCTGGTGGCAAACGAGGAACTTATTAAATAAACTGGTACACAATAATGCCACAGTTCCTGCCTCTGATTGTAGCACGTTACACTACAAAGCCCTTGGTTTAGAGCTTGGTTTCAACTGAGCTGTTTTCGGGCATATTCAGCAGATACTCGTGTAAAGTCCGTTTTCTGGACCTTTAACAGTTGCAAAATGCTTATTAATTACTCTGGAAAGTAAAACTTTGAGGGAGGGGTAACTCCCTGTAAAGAGAAATCATGCTGTGTAGCCCCTTTCTGTTTTTAACTCTAATTTAGCTCTCCTTCGACAGTAAAACGAGCAGACACACACCTTTTGCTGTGTACCCACTGGCTTTCTCACCCTTTCACCTCTCCAGTCTGGCACAGGTCGACTAATTGCTCTGTGGGGTAACTCCCTGTAAAGAGAAATCATGCTGTGTAGCCCCTTTCTGTTTTTAACTCTAATTTAGCTCTCCTTCGACAGTAAAACGAGCAGACACATACCTTTTGCTGCGTACCCACTGACTTTCTCACCCTTTCACCTCCAGTCTGGCACAGATCGACCAATTGCTCTGTAAATCTTTTACTTTTCTCTCCAGCGTTGTTGGCTGCTGTGTTGGTCAGCTCTTCACTAATCATTTTACAGAATCCCAGAATGATATGGGGTTGGAAGGGACCTCTGGAGATCATCTCCTCCAACCCCCACCCAGAGCAGGTCCCACAGGAACGTGTCCAGGCGGGTTTGAATATCTCCAGAGAAGGAGACTCCACCACCTCTCTGGGCAGCCTCTGCCAGGGCTCTGCCACCTTCACACCAAACAAGTTCCTCCTCAGGTTGAGATGGAACTTCCCCTGTTCCAGTTTGTGCCCGTTCCCTCTTGTCCTGTCCCTGGGCACCACTGGAAAAAGCCTGACCCCATCCTCCTGACACCCACCCTTGAAGTATTTCTAGGCATTGATCAGATCCCCCCTCAATCTTATCTTCTCCAGACTAAACAGACCCAAGTCCCTCAGCCTTTCATTGTAAGAGAGAGAGATGCTCCAGGCCCCTCAAGATCTTTGTAGCCCTTTGCTGGACCCTCTCCAGCAGTTCCCTGTTCTTCTGGACCTGGGGAGCCCAGAACTGGACACAGTACTCAAGAACTTTCTGTGTCTTTGTTTCCTTTTTCCACATTCTCCAAGTCTTTGCTGTAGTACTTGAAGAACCTCTAACCCATCTGCTGCTTTGAGTCTTAGTTTTCAATCCTGCGCCGGTGGAAGCTCCCCATCGCTACGTCCTTGGTGGTATCGCTCGTCTGTAGGTTAGTGCTTTCTCTGGGAGAATTTGCACACAAGTTACAGAGATTTTTTTTTTTTTTTGAAGTGCTCATCTCTCAGCACGGGGAGCTGGGGGAGCAGATGACCGTAACGCGATTATTTCTCAACAAGCTGCGTGGTGGGTTCTAGAAGTAATACTGTCCTGTTAGAGTTAATGCGATTTGTATCGGGCTGTGACTAATGGCGTAAATTAGGACAACAGCAGATGGTTCTCCCTGGGGGAGCCGCTCAGCAAGAGTGAACTGGGTCACTCCACAATCTGTGGTGCCTTCCACCTCCAAAGGGGCCGTGCGCTGGGGGGCACGGGGGAACCCGCAGCTCACGTGGGCAGAGGTGTGCTCAGTACATGGGAAATACGGCGTCGGGGGGGGCTACTGCTGAAAGGAGCTGTGCTTTCACGTGGACCTGAAGTTTTATGTCTAAATGTCACTACAGAGAACAAAAAAAATCTACTTAGGGTTCCCTACTATAATTAAAGTTCATCGGTTGTTATATTTTAGAAATAAAATTATAGCCTCGCTCCACAATAATTTAAAAACTCTTAATATTGGTGAATTGTAGGCAACAAGGAGTGTGAAATGGGGAAATGTGACTGGGACAGATTGCAGGAGCAAGAATCCAAGAATCTCCTCCTTTAAGTCTTCATTGTTAGTTTTTTTTTCTAAAAGCTGGTGATGGTTCCTTTTAAATTGCAACATATCATGGAATCCCAGAATGATATGGGGTTGGAAGGGACCTCTGGAGATCATATCTTCCAACCCCCTGCCAGAGCAGGTCCACCCAGAGCAGGTCCCACAGGAACGTGTCCAGGGGAGTTTCAATGTCTCCAGAGATGGAGACTCCACCATCTCTCTGGGCAGCCTCTGCCAGGGCTCTGCCACCCTCACACCAAACAAGCTCCTCCTCAGGTGGAGATGGAACTTCCCCTGTTCCAGTTTGTGCCCGTTCCCTCTTGTCCTGTCCCTGGGCACCACTGGAAAAAGCCTGGCCCCATCCTCCTGACACCCACCCTTGAAGGATTTGTAGGTGTTGATCAGATCCCCCTCAGTCTTCTCTTCTCCAGACTAAAAAGCCCCAAGTCCCTCAGCCTTTTGTTGTAAGAGAGATGCTCCAGGCCCCTCAGGATCTTTGTAGCCCTTTGTTGGACCCTCTCCAGCAGTTCCCTGTCCTTCTGGAACTGGGGAGCCCAGGACCCCCAGTATGGGTGCATCAAGCTGTAGCTCATCTGTGACAGCGAGCACTGAGGGAAGGGGGCTCTGATTTACTGTCTCCCCTACAACTGTAAGATGTTTAAGTGGATGATTAAAATTAAATTTGATGTTTTCTGGGTGATTTTGTAGCGTTTGCACATACTAGAAAGCCACGCACAAGGATACATACACAGGAGAAGTTATTTGACTTTGGTTTTGGCAGGATGATTTCTCTGGTGGTCTCCAGGGTGTGCTTTAACTCAGAAATATCACAAACGTTGCTAAATTGAGTGGCCTTGGAGCGCTCTGCGGGCGTGCAGGTGCCCGTCAGCTGGTTCTGCACCGCTGGAGGGTCGAGTCCATCCATCCCTCCTCGCACGAGAGCTGCAGCTCCTGTCACCTCTCCAAAACCTTCTCCGTGGAAGCCACCGGGTCGTTGTGCTGAGCCCATGAGCTGTGGGAAGCAGAGGGAGCTCCGGAGGCTGCCGAGTCCCGACTTGCTGTGGAAAATGTAAATTCTGGTTTCAGTAATAGCAGAATTATCATATTCAGACCCAGGATTTTTCCAGAGCTGTAGTATGATTCCTCTCAATTCAGTATTAATATTCAAGCCTGACTTTTGACAGGTTGTGTGTGTTGCCTGAGTGAAAACAAAGGAGACTGGAATGTCTGGAGGGCAGCTTTAAACTGTTTGCCGAGCTGAAGCTCGCGTTGGTGACTCTGTGCATTTAGAGGTGGGGTTTGCTTATTGTTCTTCTGATGACACAGAGGTTCCTGATCTTCCTACGCTGCAAGTGTCTGTTTGATGGTAACAAGCTTTAAACTGTTTGCCGAGCTGAAGCTCGCGTTGGTGACTCTGTGCATTTAGAGGTGGGGTTTGCTTATTGTTCTTCTGATGACACAGAGGTTCCTGATCTTCCTACGCTGTAAGTGTGTTTGCTGGTAATGCAACTATTGTTATAGTTTTACTTGTTGACCTAAAATCACTTTTACTTCTCCGTAAAGTCGCTGGGCTTCGTCAGAAGTCAGTTATAAATTCTTCATGTGGTAGAAAATGAGGCTCCATGATCTTGGAGATGCAAAATGCAACCGGGTTCCAGAGAGACAGAAAACATTCCCTGCCTCAGGTTTGAAGAAGGTCACGGGGAGGGGATGTTTCTGCACGTGGTTCCTCACTCTCGAAAGGTGTCCCTTGGTGTCTCACAACCATCTGCCTCTTGCTGATTTAATAAATACCCTCATTTGCTTCCCCGCAGCCTGGAAGGTAAATACCAGACCTGCTGGGGAGGGTTAAAGAGCATCATCGGTGCCATGAACGAGGGATTTACGGGCTCTTTCTCATTAAAGCCTTTCCCTGTTCTAACGGGGACGTGTGCCTCCAACTGATCAATTCCTCTTTGCTCTGGCCATTATGTATTTTCATTAACCTCGTTAGATCATAGAGGCAAATCAGTAACCATTGTGTTTGCATCCAGCTGAAAGGCAAGAGTCGTTTGTGTTGTTCTCATGCAGAGAGTCAGAAACATTTGGGGTTTTTTCTTACCCTTTTATATTTGAATCAGAAATGAATTTTTACAGGACTCTTGACTGCTCTGAGGTACTTCCAATAGCCTGTAATTCAGAAGCAAAAATCCGCTTCAACCCAGATAAACTTATTTAACCCCCAAATTAATAACAGATAGCTTTGATTTGATTTTTCCTGGTCCATGTGGGGTTTTGGCACAGGGAGGCTTGTGCCAGTGGGAACGGCAGAGCCCGAGCGCTGTCGCTGCGAATAAGGGCTTTGCAGCTAACAGGAGAAAACAGTTTTCAAAACCCATTGACTACGACCTGCCTAAAGATGTCATCCTAATTTTAAAATAACATTTATTATTACAGCCAGGACTAGAAAAGCTGAGTCAAATCAGGACTTTTTGCAGTAATCTTAGTGTCACACATACATACCTCTGACTCTTCGGTGCTGAGTGTGTCCCTGTGTAATATAAAAGAGCACTTCATTTCGGGAAGTGTCCATCAAATGGATTATGATGCGAGGGGAGAGTCCAAGGACAGTTTTTGTGAGATGTTCTATGACCTTTTTTCTTTGAGAAAACTTAATTTTGTGGTGTTTTTAGGGGCAGCTGATGTGATTATTGCCTTACAGTTTTCTCTCAAATGCGATTCAGAATCTGCCAAGAAGCATTGTCATATTGGAAGTTTGGGTTCCCAAGCAAATCAGGTGCAATTGAGTGACAAGAACCTTCAAGGGAATTTTTCCCCCCCTCCCTCGGAGTATAAATACACGAAGCTGCTGGTTTCTGTGGGAGCTCCTTTGGACCAGGAGCCTTCAGCCCCTCTGCTCACTGCTGGGATGAGATGCTGAGACTTGAGTCATTGCTCAGCCTGGTTCTAGGCTGGAGAACCTGAACTCCAGGCTCTCATCTTCCAGAAGAATGGAATTACCAAGTCTTTAGCTTTTAAGAGACAGAAACCGCCCCATTTTGACTTAAAATTGCCACAGACTAGAGCTTTTCTGGCCCCTTTTCACTCTGACTCAGAGTTTTGGTTTGAAGCAGATCTTCAGTATTGCTCCGCTTCTCCCTCTGGTTAAGTTTTGGGTTGTTAATACAAAATTATAGACCTTTTCTTGCAATTCCATTGTATCCCAATGTGAGGAATCTTGGAAGGTCTCAGTGTTTGGGTTGTTTCACAACAGAATGAAAATTTCTATGTTCCTGTGCAGTATCTTCCTAGTTTGAGCTCATGGTCTTCCATTCCACCAACCCAACCACACTTGGAGTGTTCTCCATTTTCTCTGTTTCTTTGCTTGGTTTTTTGCTGAAGGAGACAATAAAATTTTCTCTTTCATTTACCGGGAGGAGGGATGACACTTTTAAGCCCAGTTTGGAGCTCTGCTTCTAGGCTTGAAACAGCTGTCTGACAAAATCTAATCTAGATTTTTTTTTTCCCGGTGACATTATTAGGTCACTAAATCTTAACTCTGAGAGAAAAGTTCTGAGGAGGTATATCCCCAGTCTCCATAAATTGAATTATGGTGGCAGGTACTTCAGATAAGTGGGTTTATCATCTTAATGCTTTTCCTCTTGGCTTTTTTTTATCTTTCAGTGGGACACTTCAGTATGATTTTCTTATATATGGAAGGGACTTTTGTAAAAACTTCTCTACAGGACTCTTGCTGTTAAAGCAAAACACTCTGTTCACCTGTTTTTCTCCAGTGTAGCACACGGGAATTACTGGTAAAATGAGGATTATTGAAAATGAGCACCCAACACTGGATAATGTCCTCAGAAGCTTAGGATGGATCAGGGCTTTCAGCAGCAGTTTTATATCGCTGTGGCAGCATGTGGTGGACTCCACCATCTGAATGAGCTCCTTTTTTAATGGCCCTGTATATTAAATTGTGCATGAAACTAGAGTTTCTGCTCTTGCAGAACAGGACAAAGTGTTCTGTGAAGGAATAACGTAATGAATGAACCAAGGGTTAGCACCACGAGGTGTGTACTAAGCCCAAGAGATACTAATTGCTGTTAAAACACACACTTCTCTTATCCGGCACATGGTAACACATGGGTTTTGGGGTTTATTTTGTTTTTCCTTCCTCGGTTTGGTCTCACTTGTGTACCAGTTGGGCTGTTACCCAGTCTGCTGGAGGCGTGAGGTTAGATGGGACCATACCTGGTCGGCTGCTCCTCAGAAAGCTGGAGCTTGAGCAGGCTGTCCTGGGACAACATGGTCAGGAGATGTGTTCATTCAGCCTCAGCTCTCTTTTACTCATTTAATTGGCTTTATTTTGGACACAGAAGAAACTCAGAGTTTTCAGCTGGTAATTTATGGTCTTTTCTTGCTTTATATTGAACCAAGAGCCAGCTCTTGTGCTCAGCCGTGATTCGTGGCTGCAGTTGGGCTCTGGAGGAGCTACAGAACAGCTTTTTTCATTGAGAAGGCAAAGAAAGTGTTAGGATTTAACCCAGATCATTTCATTGATCCACTTTTCAGTACAAACCCACGAGTATTGGTATCATTACAGCTGAGCTTCCTCAAGAAGCAATAGATTAACCCACCAAGGTCTGAGCGAGAGCATTGTCCAGGAACAACTGCCATATAACACTACACCTTTGGGGCCAGTTTCTTTGATTTCAGCTTCTTTGTTCAGTACAGATTCCAACATGTGCTTTGAATGTATTTCTGAGGGTTCAGGAATGATTTCAGAGTGCTTTGGGGACAGGTGTGTTTGGAGGAAGAGCACAAAGAGCCATATGGGACTGGAAAACCAGTTGGTCGTCGTGTTTATGCAGAGCAGCAGGTCCAACAGGAGCTTTCACATCAAACCGACGCGGAGGATCTTGAACTTCAGTTATTTTGAAGTCTGTTTTGGAGAACTTTGGTATTTCCACCACCTGCAAAACAGAATTTAAACCTTTGGTTGACCTGTGACATGCGAGGATGCCTCTGGGTAGACCTTTCATGGAAAGCAGCTCAGGGGATCTCGTGCTGAGGAGGAATTACAAGTCTGGCAGCGCCCTAATTGAGGTTAATCACGTAACTGAGAACCATCTACGGAATCAAATCGGCTGCATCGGGAAAAACACTTTATAATATTACGACTCGCCAAGGGGAATGACTTGAATAGTGCAGAACTGTGCCTTGAACTGTCCTTTCTGTAGCTAAAAATTGATAGATTTGATAGTTTCTCTCTGCATGGGTGAACTGGGTGTTTCAGCAGAGCTTAGATAACTTCATGTTTTGCCCTGTTCATCAGACTGAAAAGAAAAAAAGTTTAATTTAAATTTGCAAGTAAACTTGATTTTTAAAGTAAAATCATTGTAATAAGCTTTTAGTCTACAGGAGTTCAGAGTTGTGGCTTGCTTTAAATCACTGTCAGCAGAGAACAGAAAACCTTCATTAACCCTGAAATAAACATTGAGCAGGATAAATGGGTGTTACAGCGATTCTAAAGACTTTTATGGGTTTTTTTCTCAGATGGAGCTGAAGAAGAAAAGATGGAGACAGAGCCAGATGGGCAACAGTCTGAGAAGGTGAGCCCGGCTCAGCGTCCTTGGTCTTACCTGTCCTCTCAGCTCAGGGCTTCTTCTACCTTCAGGGTGGCCTGAGTTACTGGTTCTGATGGACCTCCATCCAGTCTAGCACTTTATTTATTGAGATTTCAGTTACGATTGTCAAAATGGGCTGTAGGAGCAATGAACCTTCACAATTTAATCTCTCCTTTATGATAGTGAATTAATTTGAAAGCTATAAAGCAAGTTAGCAGCAAATGTCTCGTGCAGCTCTCATTCTTCAAACAATCTCTCATCCCATTTAGGCTGAAAACAAAGCGGAGAGTGAAATTGAGGAAGGCGATAAAGTACAAGAAGGAGAAAATGAGAGAAATCCAGAAAAAGAGCAAGACAGCGAAGCGACAGCGGAGCCCAAGCCAGGTAATGGTTCCCAGCTGCTCCTCAAGCTGTGGGTGCTTTAATAACCTTCTCCTAAAGTGGTTGGAACAGACCATAAACTCAGCTGCGGCAGAAATATTTCCTCTTGCACATCAGGCTGCTTCATGCTTCAGTAGTAAATATTCTGGTTTAATTTCACTGCAAAGCTCCAGCACTAAATTCTTCCTTGAACTCATTTCGGACCTCGGCTGAGCTTTGTGTCACTGTGTGTAGCGACTGGGGGAAGAAGTTGAGGTAGCAAAGTCCGTGTAGGTCAGAGAAATAATTTTCTTTTGCCTGTATCACACATTATTTGATCACTCACGATGCAAAGAAATGGGACTGCTCACTTTTACCCCTAGAAGTTAATTTGATAGCTCCATTTCCCTGTGAAGTGATGCAGAGCCTTTATTTCAGCGGGCTGAGGAGTACTGTCTTGGTTTTTCTATGTAAAACATTATTCTTCTTGTCTATTTTTAACATGGTCTCCTTGTTACCGCATGAACATATTGAGGTTTTTTCCTGGGAACTTAAATTCAGTATTTTAGCACCTGGTGTCACAGCATGAATCACAGAATCCCAGAATGATATGGGGTTGGAAGGGACCTCTGGAGATCATCTCCTCCAACCCCCTGCCAGAGCAGGTCCCACAGGAACGTGTCCAGGGGGGTTTGAATGTCTCCAGAGAAGGAGACTCCACCACCTCTCTGGGCAGCCTCTGCCAGGGCTCTGCCACCCTCACACCAAACAGGTTCCTCCTCATGTTTAGGTGGAACTTCTTATATTCAAGTTTGTGCCCGTTCCCTCTTGTCCTGTCCCTGGGCACCACTGGAAAAAGCCTGGCCCCATCCTCCTGACACCCACCCTTGAAGGATTTAGAGGCGTTGATCAGATCCCCCCTCAGTCTGCTCTTCTCCAGACTAAAAAGCCCCAAGTCCCTCACCCTTTTCTCAACAGAGAGATGCTCCGGGCCCCTCAGGCCTCAGCCTTTTCTCATCAGAGAGATGTTCTTGTCCCCTCAGGATCTTTGTAGCCCTTTGCTGGACCCTCTCCAGCAGTTCCCTGTCCTTCTGGAACTGGGGAGCCCAGAACTGGTCCCAGAGCTCCAGAACATTTGGAGTTGATGTAATAGTGGAGTTGATTTGGAAACACAGCTGAAATTGTTCTGATGAGAGTGAACCGATGGCAGAAGGTGAATTGACAGGATGGGAACTAAAAGCAGTTAATTTTGCCCTATTTTTTTAGATCGGATCCTCTTAGAGTAGAATAGTTCCCATGTCAGCGTTTGGGCGAGTAGCGGGGCTATAAGGTAGAAATGTCACAATGTGTGGATGAGTTAATTTGGTTGATGACTGGCAGTGTACGTAGGGCGATTCCTGTCCCGACACGATACCGTTAACGAGGGGAGAATGCGCGTAACGGCCTTGGCGTTCGATCTTTTCCAGAGGAAAAGGAGGCAGAAGAGAACAAGGAGAACGTTGATGCCGGCAAAGACAAAGAGAACGAGGCCGGGAAGAAGAAAGTGGAACATGAAATCTCGGAAGGAAACGTAGCTACAGCTGCAGCTGCTGCCCTGGCCTCAGCTGCCACCAAAGCAAAGGTTTGTTTCATACACACACCCCTTGGCTTGGCTTCCCCTTCACATCACAACTCGTCTTCAAATGGGCCTTTGTTCCAGATCCGTGCGTCTTGGTGTTCTCATCCCTAATACCTTGAAGGAGCACAAGTGCCATCTTCAGTTTCTTCTACTCCAGCTCCTAAGGGAAATAGCTGCCTAGGTTAAAATTACACACTACTTTTATGAACATCCCTAAGAAATAGCCCCAAAACCTGTTGGTTGTTTTTGGAGAGACTTTTCTCTGCAGGCTAGGCCTGGCTGTGATGCCGAGGGCGTAGGTTTGGGTGACAAAACCCTCATGCTGCCTTTTTGGCTGGGCCATTCTGTGGACTTCACACAAGCCCTCCGTGCTTGGACTCTTTGTCTGTAAGAACACCACCATGTTCAATTCAACAATTACTATTTTTATAGACAACTTAATGATTTTTTTGTTAAGAGGTGCCGCGTGTCTGTTCAAAGCACGTCCTTGTTTTCCTGTCATTAAACTTGTGTTTGTTTGTCCTTAGTCTCTTTACAAGCTGTGGTTTGAATCGCTGTCCTATCTAATAGCTTTTCTTTCCCTATAATTACTAATTGCACGTTGTCTGTCATTTTCTTTTTTGCAGGGACAAGATCGCCTGTGCTTCTTTCAGAACATCTTTCTCAAAATCCCTTTTCTCTTCATGGTTTTTTTTTTTTTTCCTTCTTTGGTTTCAACTTGTACTTTGGGTTTCCTTACTCGCTCTTGGATTCAATCCTAAATTGCACACATATATATATAAATATAGAAATACCAGAAGCAAAGTGTGGATGGTGCTTAAATCCCGATGGGTTTCCAGGACACAAGAGTGGACATAATGAGGTGTTGCATGTGTGATACTGACTTTTCCAGTCTGACCTTTGACTCTGAACTTTTACTTTAGACTTTTCTTTTTTCCCCAGCTGCATCATATATGTTGAGGGTGGTGCGGTGTTGTCACGATGATACACTGAATGACAGAATCCCAGAATGATATGGGGTTGGAAGGGATCTGTGGAGATCATCTCCTCCAACCCCCTGCCAGAGCAGGTCCCACAGGAACGTGTCCAGGGGGGTTTGAATGTCTCCAGAGAAGGAGACTCCACCACCTCCCTGGGCAGCCTCTGCCAGGGCTCTGCCACCCTCACACCAAACAAGTTCCTCCTCAGGTTGAGATGGAACTTCCCCTGTTGCAGTTTGTGCCCATTCCCTCTTGTCCTGTCCCTGGGCACCACTGGAAAAAGCCTGGCCCCATCCTCCTGACACCCACCCTTGAAGGATTTGTAGGTGTTGATCAGATCCCCCCTCAGTCTGCTCTTCTCCAGACTAAAGAGACCCAAGTGCCTCAGCCTTTCCTCATCAGAGAGATGTTCTAGTCCCTTCAGGATCTTTGTAGCCCTTTGCTGGACCATCTCCAGCAGTTCCCTGGCCTTCTGGAACTGGGGAGCCCACAACTGGTCCCAGAGCTCCAACTGGGGCCTCCCCCAGGCAGGGCAGAGGGGCAGGATGACCTCCCTCCACCTGCTGGTCACACTCTTCCTGATGCCCCCCCAGGATGCCATTGGCCTTCTTGGCCACCAGGTCCCATTGCTGGCTCCTGGGCATCCTGTTGTCCCCCAGGACTCCCAGGTCTTTCTCCTCAGAGCTGCTCTCCAGCAGGTCACCCCAACCTGTCCTGGTGCAGGGGGTTCTTCCTCCCCAGGTGCAGCACCTGCACTTGCCCTTGTTGAATTTCATCAGGTTCCTCTGCCCAACTCTCCAGCCTCCTTTATGAACCCATGAGATTTCAGGATGTTTCTTAGTTATTACCTTTCAAGACAGGTTCTAAAATCAGTAGTTGTGTGAATTCCAGCACCCTTTGCAGGGATCCCACTCCGCAGGCAAACTTCAACTTCATTATTTCGGTGACGTGCAGAGTCCTAACGGGCTCCCTCGTGCATCACTTCTCTCTGCATTGGTACCTGTGATTACAGATGTTTTCAGCCAAGTTGAAAAAAAAACCCTGCATATAGATATATATAGATACATATATATATATATATAAGGAGGCACAAAATTTAATCTCTATTTTACGGAAGGCTGCTTTATCCAAATAATGATGATCTACTTTCCTTTCTTTGCCGATAACGAGTGCTGGAGGGAGAAGGGACTTGGCTAATGGCAGTTTTCATTATGGTAATAACAATATTCTAGAAGAATTTTAGCTTTATATTACAGGAAATAATATATTATAATTAGGATGTTCGCACTTCAGAGTAGAATTCAAGTTCAACAGGGATTTCTCTTTCCACTTGCACTTTAAAAACCCAGACAGTGTTAAGGCTTTCATTGAGGTGTGTCTTGTCTGAGAGAGTAAATCAGTTCTTCTTGATAAACTCAAGACCTGGTGGTGGGGAGAGCTGTTACAGAGTTGTTTTCCTTAAAATATTTCTATCAGAAGAATATTGCAGTTGACTTTGAAGGAGAAACAGGGGTTTCAGGCACTCTGATCCCATGACTTCTCTGAATTTCTGATTTGAGGTAGTTGTGATTGAACACGTCCTTTCTAGAAGACACTGATATCAAAAACTGCCAGTGGTGCCAAACCTCTGATAATTGCCCTTAATTTTTTCCCCTGGGTGGTAAACTTCGCTGTTAGGATTTATTCCTGGCCTGACGTGCTTCGACCACAAGCCGTTGTGCCGCAGCAGCACTTTTCTCTGCCTCTGAATGAAAAAGCCTTCAATTATCGACTGCTTTTTTCGTGTTTGGGTATTTAGAAATGTAAAATTCAGGAGCGGAAGGGCCCCTTGGTGCTAAAATGATGTGTCTTCTTTTTGCAGGCAGCTACATCCCATCTTCTCTTCACAGAGAAATCAAATCCTGTCTTTAATTGGTTTCTCTTTGCTGCTGCTCTGGAAACTCACTGTAGGACCTTTTTCATCTCGTGCGTGATCGTGTGCCTGGCGGGACGTAGTTTTTCCCATTGTGTGCCTGAATGGAGGTGGTTCTGTGTGTTCTGCCACTTTTATTGCTTCTGTTTCATTCCTGAAGGACAGTCTCAGCCCCTCATGGCCTTGCAGGCAAAAGCCAGGTGAAGCATTTGCTCGCAATCTTTTTCACTTATTTATGGCTTAAGGTGGATGCAGGAATATTTTTCCAGGCAATTTATATCGCTATTAATTTTGTCTTACTATTTTTTTATTAACCACAGAGTCAGTAATGATTTATTCTTTGTTCACACGACAGCACTGGGCAGTGCCAGGCTGAGGAGTGGTCTCTTCAGGAAACACTTCAATGATGGTTTCCTTTCCAATGTGTATTTTGAGACCTGCCTTTTACCTACCGGTGTGCCTTGCTGATTTTATGGTAATGTGGCTTCATTATTAAAATTGCTCACATCAGGCAAGGAGAAGTGACTGTCAGGGGGCTGCGTGTGTCAACAAAGGTACTTCCTTCACTCCAGCTTTTCGTACAAATTAGTCTGTTTTACTAAACAGCATTAATTGACGTTAAATTTTCTAGTTGTCAGCCTTTCAGTTATTTTTATTTCAGATACCTGCACCACCCTTTGGTCAGTTTTTCACTGAATGGCTGACTTGAATGTCTCAGGGACATGCTGACTGATGAACTTTGGGGATCACTCTGGTTCTCGACCTGAATTAAAATTAACCTTAAAGAATGTTCAGGACTCTCACTATCTAGATTTACTGAAGCCTTGCTTTATTCCTGGTGGGTTACTGGAGGTGGATGCTGTCAAATGACACAACACATTAGCAGTGGAAGCAGTATCACACCTTTTGGAGAAATCCTGTTTATAATTAGGATTTCCAGGGAGTTTCAGGAGGCTGCTTTTTTCCCCCTCGGTATTTCTCCCGGTTCTGAGCCCAATTTTGGGGCACAGCTTGCTAAATTTGAGTCTCTGTGTGCAGCTCAAGCTGGGTGAGGTCTGGCTTTTTCCTTTTTTTTCTTCTTTCCCTTCCCCAAAGCCACCCTCCCTTCCACCTTGGATTTTCCTGGGCACTGTGGTCTGGAAACATCCTTTGGTACAGAAACTTCAATCAGCCCCTGCAATAGGTGTTTTATTTTGAGTGTATTTTCGTTTGAACAGCAGGCTTTTAGCAAAAGCTGGTAGAAACCATCATTTAACGTTCCTTTCACACTCAGAGAACATGAAACATTTTTATAGGCTGTCTCATATCACATATATATAGACTTATATATCTGCTGTATCATTTATATATGTGTGTATATGTAAGTGGAGCCTGGTAAAGAATCTTATTTGCCTTTTTCTGCAGTTCCCTTTTGCAGTTTAAATACAGCTTTGCCTTCAGCTTTCTTCCGCAATAGGAGTACTGTGCAACCTGGTTATAAAAGGAAACTGAAGATTTATCTTTTTTTCTAACAGTTTCTTCTAATATCTGTGTAGAGATGTCTCTGCGAGCTCTCCCCAGCCCGAGGTGGAACTGCTGCGCTGAGAAAGCATATGGTTGAGTGGTGTGATGCTGCACGTGAGGGGAATGTGCTTAGCTAAATACATAACTTCTCATTTACTGGAGCAAAAAACTCTTTGATGGCAAAGAATGCAAGAGTCATCTCCTTGGTTTTGTGGGTCGTTCCAGGTGAAAGCCTCCTGTGTGTGTTTTGGTGAGAGCTTTTTGGATGACCTACAGCTGACTCCTTAGAACATCCCCTTGCTCCCTCATTTGCATCTCCGTGAAAGTGCTCTCTGTTGCCCAGGCTTGGAGGCAAAGCTGGATTCCTCTGAGGACCGAGCATCCACAATACCTCTTGTATTAAAAACTGCCACTTATTTATTTGATTAAAACCTTAATAATCTTCCAAGGGCTTCTGGTTCCCAGCATGATTGATTCCAGAAGTGGACTAGGGTGGCTGAAGCTAGATGCAGGCGTAGCTGGCTTATTTCTTCCCTTAAAGCACTTTATTTTGTGAAATGCATGTAAAACAAACCCCCCTGTGTTTTCTCCTCAGCACCTAGCAGCAGTGGAAGAAAGAAAGATCAAGTCCCTGGTTGCCCTCCTGGTGGAAACGCAGATGAAGAAGCTGGAGATAAAACTTCGCCATTTCGAGGAGCTGGAAACCATCATGGACAGAGAGAAAGAGGCAGTAAGTAGGAGGGCACTAATCTGAAATTGTGGATTAAATCAATCACTATTTATGCTGACAGCTGGAAAACTGGCAACTTCAGCAGTTTCTCACCTTTATGTGGGTCTTTTTGCCTCAGCTGCAATTCAGAATTACCCCCTGCAGGAGAGTTTGAGCTCTCTCCTCTCTCCAGATTTTCCCGTTCCTACAAGCAGCCAACTGGTAGCATCCTCAATTTGCTTCCTGTAATCCTTACTCCTGTCCTCTGAGCGTGGAATTGTTCCTGAGCTTTACGTAGGCATTGCCACCTGGATGATACCTGACCTGTGAATGTTTTTTCCACATAAAGAGAGGAAAATGGATGGAAACCTTAATTCCCTGAGGGGAGGGAACCAGCGCCGTCTGCCTTTCCTTCCTGACCCAGTTTAGACTGGAGAGTTGGATTTAAGCATGTCATTCAGGGTTTTTTTTTTTGGAGGGCATTCCCAGTAGCTCTTGGGAAAGTCCCACAAGTGAGATGTGGCAGCAGAAGGAAACGTGCTGGGGAGTAACAGCTTCTCGTTCTGTGATGGTGAGGGCTCTGCCTGAGCTGGAGAGGGGAAACCACCGCGTCGAAGAGATGTCAGGAGATGGGAAAAGGCGGTTTTTGCAGGCACCAGGAAAGTATCAAAATAGAACAAAGCTGAGCTGACAGATCTAGGGGTGAAGTGTGACGGAGGAGGAGGAGCTGGGCAAGCAAGAGGTGGCTGGTTTCTGTCCTTGGTGAGGGAATCGGGGCACGTCTCAGTTGAGATCTGGCCACCTGAAGAAGGTGGGGACACTAAGAGAGTAAATACAATGCATCCATCCCAAGCAGGGCTGTGTTTATATTTATGTATCCCTGTTAGTGACACTCTGCCAGAGACTCGTGTACCCCTAAAATCAGGTGTGACGTGGAAGAGATGCTGCCTCTGCTGTCAGAGGCTGGATTCCACACCAGTCACTAACTGTATTTACATTTATAGCCCAGCAGACTTTCAGAGAAGCAGTTTCTCTCCAGCTGCTGTAAAGATCATCCAAAACTTGATTTTTATCAGGGTTTTTTTTTTATTTTTCTGTTGTGTAGCTTGCTTATATTTTCTCAATAGGCAATTACTCGTGTTGAAGACATTGACTTGTAATTGTAGGGCTTTTCACGTTGGCCCTACGCTGTGAAGGGAATGGGATTTACATCCTCGTGTTGGCATTAAATCAGGGTGAGAGAGTCTGACAAACTGCAGGCTTTTGTTGGAAGCAGAATGTCAGTGAGAATTTCTACATCACTCGGCGTCCGCAGCCCGTTCAGCGGGGTGTTTGCCTCTGACACTGATTGGCAGCTCCAGAAATGGACCTAACTATTTTAAAAAGGTTCTCTGTGGATTTCTTTCTTTGGAGGATATATTCTATCAGTGCCACTGAGGAGATGGGGGGTTTATGTTTAGAGGTGTATGACATTCTCCTTTTTTAAAATGTGCATATAGATTTTTTTGCCTTGGCTTTCTGGTGGTTGAGGTGGGTCTCTTCACCTGTCATTGTGGATATTTAGTGGAATAATTAAAGCAAAAAAATTCCGCCGGTGCCATTGCACGCTCTGCATGTCCTTCTTTGTGCACTGGATTTTTGTTAAGGTAAGGGGATTCTGAGTGTTGAAAGAAATCTGTGCTTCAAACTGGAGGGTGTGAGATTTTTTTTGACAAAACACATTTACTTCAGTGTTTAAGGTGAAGTAAATTTAGTGCTGTCAGCTCTGTCTGGCCAGGGATCCTGTCCTTAGGAGCATTGTTGACCCGGAATTTATAACAGCTGAACAGTTTCTTCACCCCTTTCTGTTTGGGGAGGGGTTACTTGCTGAAGATGAAATCGTAGTACAATGATGGTTATTGTATTGAGTAAATGTTAAGTGCTTGTAATAAGTCCCTTCTAATTGGGAATCACTTCATGACGAAGCCGAAACATGCTCTTGCAAATGTGAAGATCGTCAAGTCTTGCAACACAGAACCCCAGGATGCTATGGGGTTGGAAGGGACCTCTGGAGATCATCTCCTCCAACCCCCACCCAGAGCAGGTCCCACAGGAACGTGTCCAGGTAGGTTTGAATGTCTCCAGAGGAGACCCCACCACCTCTCTGGGCAGCCTCTGCCAGGGCTCTGCCACCCTCACACCAAACAAGTTCCTCCTCAGGTTGAGATGGAACTTCCCCTGTTCCAGTTTGTGCCCGTTCCCTCTTGTCCTGTCCCTGGGCACCACTGGAAAAAGCCTGGCCCCATCCTCCTGACACCCACCCTTGAAGTATTTGTAGGTGTTGATCAGATCCCCCCTCAGTCTTCTCTTCTCCAGACTAAAGAGACCCAAGTCCCTCAGCCTTTCCTCATCAGAGAGATGTTCTAGTCCCCTCTCAAGTCGGGCTGTGTAGGGAGGTTGTCTGGCAGACTGGGGGATGCTGACCTTCGTTAAGGTGCCCAGCCAGAGTTTTTGGAGGCTAAATACAAACTACTGATCAATTACCCACCAGAAGATGTGTTACCACCACTTGTCTTGTTCATCTGGGGCTACAACAGTAGGTTGTGTCCATAAATCTGCTTCAGAAGTGGTTACCACAAAGGCAAGAACTGGGTTTTTTGGTGTTAATAACTTGTGTTTATTTGCCTTTTTTCCGCTCTCCAACTGCCTTTGCTCATCCTGAGGGGAGGGAGGGAATGTGGAGAAGTTTTTTCACTGGTTTTCTTACGTACAAGGTGTGTTTTCAGACACTGGATTCCTTTTGGGGATGCTTGTAAAGACTTTTGGGTTTGTTTTTTTTAACTTTCTCAGGATGGGGTACCATAAAGAGAGCAAAGCAGGAATACAAAGGAGTATAAAAAGGCTCTAAAAAGTCCGGTGTAGCCGCACTTGTTGCCTAAGCCTTTGTTTCGGGTCATTTGCACTAATTCTCCTCTGAACTCCCTGCCACCTCCGGAATCTGTTTCCACACACGGACAATTACACCATCGGTGTAACGTGGCTCTTCTTTTTCTCAACTTCTTCCCACTGCCCTCTGGGATGGGTCAAGGAAAAAGGAGCCGTGGCAGCGTGAATAATCCCATTGTCGTCCCTACACGCGGAAAGAACCAGCCCCAGCAAGGAGTATGGATTATTCATGAGGTTCCCTCTCCATCTGGCTCTGGGTGGTGAATGTGCTCTCCATGGTTATTCCAGTTTCATCCAGGCTTTGTCACTGGTCAAACAGCTCACGCGAAGCATCTACGGAGCTTTGGGACTTTTTTGGGGAGAACTTCTGCTGGGTGGAAGTCTCCCTGGCAACTTGCTTTTCAGATCAATTAATGGAGGATATCTTAAAATACTCTTTAAATATTTGTAAACTCGTCACACAAATCCACATCTCAAATTGTTTAAGAGTAATAGATGTAGAAACGGGTTATGATTTTCTTAAGTCAGTCAAAACAACATACACTTCCTTAGCCATGACAATGATCAGTCGTATAAATAGGAAGAAATATTTTCTGTAGCTTCTTTTTTCATTTTGGGCTTGCTTGCTCTCAACACGCCTTCATAATTAAACAAAGCACTTATTTTATTTTTTAATTGGCCTAAATAACATGAGGGTTTTTTTAAATAATACATTTCTTAATAGTCCAAACCATTGCTGTGTGGTGTCACAGTGTCCACTTAAAATAAAGGTACAGAGTGGGATCCTGCTGCAGTCACTGAGCTCGAGCCATCGCACACGTTCTGCTTTGAGCTTTCCCTAGAAAATCCCTTTAGTTTCCAGTTCCCCTCGTTCCAATGTGCAGAAAATTGAGAGTAAAAATGTCCCGTTTCTTCTGAAATTGTGTGAAGGCTGGATGTTTTGCACAGTGATAGTTGAGTGATGTGTTGGTCGTGTTACTGAAAGATTCTTGAGGACAAAACAAGGTGAATTCATCTTTTCCAGCCGGGAAATGACCTGGACTCTTTTCCAAAACCTGCTGCAAATGAGAGAGATGGGTGTGTCGATGGGGATAGGCATTTCATTTGCAGAAATACATTTTAAATGTATAGTTCCTAACTTTGCTTTGCCTTTCCCCCCTTATTTCTGACGTAGTTGGAGCAGCAGAGACAGCAGTTGCTGACGGAACGGCAGAATTTCCACATGGAGCAGCTGAAATACGCCGAATTAAGGGCTCGTCAGCAAATGGAGCAGCAGCACAGTCAGAACCCCCAGCAGCCTCACCAGCACTCCAGTGGGCCTGGCATGAACCCCCTGGGGGCACCAGCACATCCAGGCTTATTGCCTCACCAGCAGCCCCCGCCGTACCCCATGATGCACCACCAGATGCCACCACCTCACCCCCCGCAGCCAGGTAAGAGGTGGGAGGAGAAAATCCCCAAACATTAATCACCATTCGTAATATTCAGAGGAAGAGGTAAAATTGTAAGTGGTGTAATGGATGGTCTGTTACGGAGTGGTTTATAGTGAGGAGAAGGACTTGGGGGTGTTGGTGGAGAAGCTCAACGTGAGCACTTGGGGATGCAGCCCAGGAAGTCCCCCATAACTTGGGGCTGCATCCCGAGCAGCGTCCCCAGCAGGGCAAGGGGGGAGATTCTGCACCTCTGCTCCACTCCAGAGAGACACCCCCCAAGTGCTGCCTCCAGCTCTGGGGCCACCAACAGCAGAAGGACACGGAGCTGTTGGAGCGGAGCCACAGGAGACCCCGGAGATGCTGGGAGGGCTGGAGCCCCTCTGCTGGGAGGGGGGGCTGAGAGAGTTGGGGGGTTCAGCCTGGAGAAGAGAAAGCTCCGGGGAGACCTTGGAGCCTCTTCCAGTCCCTCAAGGGCTCCAGGAGAGATGGGGAGGGACTCTGGATGAGGGAGAGGAGCCAGAGGAGGAGGGGGAACTTCTTGGGGCTTTGCTTTCTGGCCGCTGCCCTTCGGTTGTGCTCGGTACCAGAGGAGAGTGGCAGAACCACATTGCTCAGAAAGGCCTCTTGAACGTCTCCAGTCCACCTCAAAGCACAGCCAATGGGATCAGAGTGCAGGGGACTTGTCTTCTTGAGGTTTGGATATCCCCAAGGGTGGAGATACTCCTAGTACCCAAGGGTGGTGTCCTTTTTACGGTTAAAAAGGATTAGGACTATCAAATATTGTACTTTTGCTGTGAAGACGTTTACAGGGAGGGACTCTGGATGAGGGAGAGGAGCCAGAGGAGGAGGGGGAACTTCTTGGGGCTTTGCTTTCTGGCCGCTGCCCTTCAGTTGTGCTCGATACCAGAGGAGAGTGGCAGAACCACGTTGCTCAGAAAGGTCTCTTGAACGTCTCCAGTCCAGCTCAGAGCACAGCCAAGGGGATCAGAGTGCAGGGGACTTGTCCTCTTGAGGTTTGGATGTCCCCAAGGGTGGAGATATTCGTAGTACCCAAGGATGGGGGCGATTTTATGGTTAAAAAGGATTGGGACTATCAAATGTTGTACTTTTGCTGTGAAGACGTTTACGGGAGGTAGAATTGACTTTACTATAGTTGTTCAATGTTGTTGAACATGATTTGAAGTAGAATAAATAGAATAAAACCCGATTTTCTGACTAGGCGACAGCAAAGGAGAATAGTTTTTGTCAATTTTCAACGGCTTGAGCAAAAACTATTCTAAAAGAACAGCTGATTGGTATTAGCTGGAAGTATTTCGGAAGATCTTGCACAGGCTGCTCTGAAGAAACTGAAATATTTAGGGTATCGTGATCAAAAATAGGAGACGTGGAAACAGAGTTTGGAGTTTTCATCTTGGGAAAAGACCTGTGTTAAGTGTGGGGTTTGGAAAAGAGCGAAGGGACATAGAGCAGGATGTGCAGGTGACGGTGAAAATGGGAGGCATCTAATCCAGCTGCATGAATCTTCGTGGTAATAAAACTTAATTTAATCAACGGACGCAGAGTAATGCTCGTTGGAGAGGAAGGGAAGAGTTGTCTTGTGATCTAGAGGCTTAAGCTGTCTTTTTTTTAAGGGATCAGAGTCAGGGAATTCCTGCCTTCGCTGGGCTCTCATGGACAGAAAATGCTGATGTTGTTTTGGGGTTTGCTGAAATGGAATTGGGAGCATGATGAAATATGGTCTGGTTTGGTTTTTTTTAGATTCAAATATCATAGCTCAATTTGTCTGTTGTGTGCTGTATTGACAACACTTAGCGGTAGAACGGAGAGTCGTTCCGTGAAATGGAAAAGTGGCAAATTGAAAACAGATTAAAGGGGGGAATCATTGCATATCATTAGCTGGCTCTTACTTACGCGCTGCGATTGAGACTGAAAATGTAACAAGATTAAACGCATTGTTGTATTCACCGGGGGACTAATAAAACTTGATTTCTAATATATTCACGTCCTCAGCTCACATAATACCTTATTACTCCAGCCCCATCGTAGTCATTCACACCCTCCCTGTCCCCAGTGATCCCTTCCAGCGTGCGGTGTGGGGAGCGGGGTGGTGTGTTAATTAGTCAGTAACGTCTCTTTTTCAGATTTGATTAAAGTTAGTCAATAGATTGACTTTTCCACCACCCCCCTACCCCCTCCCGGTAGCGGGTGGCAGCGTGATGGATGAGGCGCAGCACTTCTGGCTCCTGCTGCAGTGAAACATCTGGTGCTGTCTCATGTCATCCAGGTACAGGACCAGGATCTCACCTTCTACCTTCTCTGACACTTCACTGGTTTGATATTTTTGTGAAGGTGAGAATTCGGAGGCCCTTGGAGAGTTTAAGGGCAAAGTCCTCTTTTTGCTTCTACCATATCCCAACTGGTTTTGCCTGGAAAGGGAAATAATGACTTTTCCTCAGGCTCTTCAGTGGCAGTTTGTTAGAAGGGAAATCCACAAGCGCCCAAGCTCTTCAGCTTCACAGCAGAGTTTTGTGTGGCTTGAGGGCAAGGAGAAAAAATGGAAAGGTTCAGTGTTTCCTCGAGTAAGTTCAACACTTAAACTCTGAGCCAGTCCCTGGGGGGGTGTAAGCAGTGACTTCCTTGATCCTTCAGTCCCCAGCGACTCACAAAGTGACCCGATTTTCTCTTCAGGGAGTTTAAGATGCCCAAAGTTTGACTTTCCTTGACAAATCAGTCCATCCCAGGGTGAGTCTCTGCTGGAATTCTCTGTTGTGTGCAGCAGTCTCCAGAAACCTTTCTGAGGTGCTGAAGTTTGTGTTGTATACATTAAAAAATAATCCCTTCTCACATCACGTTGATCATGTTGAATCTGTGATAAATGCTCAGAACTTCTATCTATCGTACCCTATATATTTTCCTTGCTTTCACATTTTTAGAGCAATTATGGTGTGTTTATTGGACTTGTAAGTCTTGGAGCATTAATAGTCCAATACTTTCATGGCAGACCTATACATTTCATAGATCATTAGCAATTTTTGCTGCTTGGTTGCTAATTAGGGATCCTTTGAAACAAACGGGTGAGCTTCACCTTAATGACCATCCATCTGTTGGTTCCCTCCCTGCCCATGAGCCCCAGTTTGGAGGGTGTGGGTAGATGAATTTCACCCTGTTAGGGCAGAGATACACTTTTAGGAAAAAAAAAAATCTAAATTTCTTCTTTTTTTTGCTGCTCTGAGTCGTGTAGATGAAGCTCTGGCTTCAGAGCTGTGGGCGTACAACTTAAAATCATAGAGTTTTCCAGGTTCTTTGAGTCCAACCAGCTTCCCAGTGCAGGGCTGGACGTGCTTTTGTAAGGAGGAAGAGGAGGACTTTCCTTCCCTGAGTTCTTCACTTCTCTCCAATAACAACCCGTCGTCCCCAAGGTGGTCGCTTTCAGGAAACCTCGGTGATGAATGACGTGGTGTAATTCTTCGTTCAGGTGTAAAGATGTTATTGGAGACTTGGAGAAGTCTCCATCAGCTGCTCCGACAGCTCTGTGGGAAGAACAGACCCATTCAGTTTGCTTTAGGGAAAAATCCCCGAAATAAGTTAGGAGTGACTGAGAAGCACCAGTGGGCGACCTTCCAGAAGAGCCCCGAGGGGAAGCTGGGGATGGAAATACCCGGCACCATTTCCTGTTCAGCTGCGTGGATTTAACTCCAGACTTTACCTTGGTTTTCGCTGATGTTTTCAAACACAGGTTTCTGACCTTAATAGTGAGTAAAAGTGTCACTGTTGGTTTAGTAGACCGTGAACGAAAGGCGAAGTCGCGTGTCTTTTAAAGTGATTGACGAAAGCTGAAGGGATGGTAGGAAACAAAGTGATGAAAGGATCTGAAAAGGCATTTATAAATGGAAGGAAAAAACCCACACCCTCCTGCTTATGGCTTCTCTGGGTTCAGAGGCAGAAGCAGTTAAGCCAAATCTCACAACTAAAAGTTAATGGTGAAGCTCTTTCCAGAAGAACGGTCTTTAGCTTAGATGTTGGACTCTGGGCACAGCTGGTGAACATCTCCAGTTGAGGGTCACTCTTTGTACTGGGACCACATCTGGTTCTACTGGACCATGGAATTCGCTGGGACCTGTCGAAGAGCTGAAATTGGTCCAAGACCAGCACCCAAAGGCAGGTTGGGTGAGAGAGAAGCCAAGCAGAGCCTGGAGAGCCCCTCAAGAGAGAAGAGCTGTTGGTGGATTCCACATAAAGCAAAAATTGCACAGTGGACGGTGTAGAATGAGCGGTCGGAGGAGCTTCTGAGGGGCTTTTGCTACTTCTCCCATGGCTTTTGTCCCTGGGGTTAACTGTCTTTTTGCTTGTCTTAGCAAGAAACGTGGCTCAATGGTTAAAAAGCTTTGAGTTTAGAAATTTGAAATAGAATTTGTCATGTGTGGTTTGACTTGACTCCTGCTTCTCCCAGGTGTTTGGTGTTCGGCTGCCTTGGGTTGGTCCTTCAGTGCCTGAGTGTGATGAGATGCTGCTCAACTCGATGTTCTCAGGCACTGATTTCAGACAAGTCCCACAACTTGCTCCTTTCCCATTTTTTTTTTTTTTTTTACTTTTAACTTCACTTTTTGCTGAGCTTCCCTTGTTCTCTTTTCCCTTGGAATGAAGACTTTTAAAATGAGAAAAACAAAATCGCGTTCCAGTTTCATTGTGAAAAGCTGTACCTTGTACTTAGAATGGAAAATAAAATTCCCAGTTTGTTCCTGTGTTACCAGCCTGGCTGCTGGTCGTATCATTTGAAGCCCATTATCGATTTCTCTCTACGCTATTCTGGTTGTCTGTGGAATGCTAAATGCCCTCTGCAAGTGATACTTGCAGTGTGTAATGGGAGGAACTTCTTGAAATTCTTGGAGAGAGATGTATTAATGGCTGTCATTGACTCTTCCCTTCAAGGAGGATTTTCAGCCAGTAAATAATTTCTGACCCAAAGCAGAAATGGGATAAGGGGGTCGGGATACACTTCC